AGGGTGAAGGGGAAGGAGACGAGGCAGGAGAGCCTTCAGATGAGGATATGGGTCTGACACCTGGGAAGGAGCAGGAGGAGGGAGGGAAGGAGGAGGGAGGAGGAACGCAGCCAACAGTGCCACTCTGAGAAAGCTTTAACCAGGCTGACAGGAAGCCCCAAAGCAGTCTGCTCAGGCACCCATAACAAACTACCATGGGTGGGGGCAGGGGAGCTCAAGCAACAGAAATGTATTTCCCCCTGCTCTGGAGGCTGGAAGTGCAGGGTCAAGGTACCAGCAGGTTGGTTTCCGGCGAGAGCCCTCTTCCTGGCGTGCAGGTGGCTGCCTTCTCGCTCTGTCCTCACGTGGCCTTTCCTCTGTGCACAGAGAGTGAACTCTGGCGTCTCTTCCCATTCGTATAAAGACACCAGTGCCATCAGAGGACAGTCCCCCGCACCCTGCCTCGACCTCATTTACCGCTCATTTACCTCTGTAAAGGCCCCGTCTCCAAACGCATTCACGTCAGGAGTCAGGGATTCGACTTAGGGATTTCGGGGGACACGATTCAGTCCATTACAGAGGGGTTGCCCGTGCCAGCGTTGGCAGGAGTGACCCTGCTGCCTGTCAGGCTCTGTCATCGGCTGGGAGCAGCCCAGGCGACTGTGGCCTTCGAGCGAGCGCTGCAGCGGGTCCGAACGTGCAGCACCTGCAGGCACGCCGTCACCACCTTCTCATGGGAGGCTCTCTCCAGAAGGAAGAGCTGGGCGGCACGTCCCGCTGCTGCCAGGCAGAGTAAGAAGAGCGAGGGCACACGGCTGGGGACCTGCTGGTGCCGGCCGTCGTGGGGCTCAGCGCGCTCCTACAGCCCCTGCACAGCCCGGGGCATCAGGGCCCCTCGTCCCCCATGAATCAGAGCCTCAGGGGGCCTCGGCGACTCCCCGGAGGTGTCACCGCCAGACCGCCCACCCCTTTATCTGAGGGTGGCTTTGGGAATTTGGAAGACTTACAATGTTTGCACCTCTCTTGTCAAGTTCAGCTGTGAAGGCGTTTAATAATCACCCTCCCTGAGCATCTGGCGCTAAGGGGCAGTCACAGGGCCCAAACGCTCATTTCAGTAGGGCTCCACCTTTATGTGGTGACACGCAGTGTTGACTGTGTGCCCCGATATACTCGCAGTAGGAATTTGAGCCCGGAACTCAGAGAGGTCTGGTGCTTTGTCCAGGGTAACACAGCAAGCCAGTGGCAAGGCGGAGAACAGAGCCCTCAGTCTCGTGCTCCTGGCCTGATGTAAGAAACCGCCCATGCCCCCCCTCAAGGCAGCTCGGCCCACAGCTGTCACCTAGGCTCGAATCCCACCTTGGCCACTTCTGAGCGAGGTGACCTTGGGCACATGGCCTCTCTTCTCTGGGCCTTCATTTCCTGTCTGAAAAACAGAGACCACAGCATCTACCTTACCCGGCTTTACCTTCACACACGCCCTGTGCCTCGGTTTCCCCATCTGTAAAATAGGGACACGAGAACACTTACCTCACAGTGTTGTGGTGAAGAATGAATGGATTCTGAAATGTTTAAAGTACTTGGGCTGTTAGGATTTGTCGTAGCCTGACTGGCTGAATCATATGGACCCCTCCCCACTGCCGCTCTCTCCCTCCAGTTGGGGAGCCAGGAGCCATGTAGTGTGGGAAGAAGAGGCCCAAGGGCGATCTCAGCTCTGCTACCAACGTGCTGGCAGACTTCCGGGACGTCAGCGGACCCCGCTTTTCCCCAACGGTGCACTGGGGCGAGGAGTCAGCCTGATGGGCCCCTCCCCGTGGTGACTCTCTGAGCCGGAGCCTTTGGGTCCCAGAGTAGCGTCCCAAGCAGGATTGCCGGATTCTGGAGCTCCCAGGGACTGATGAGAGTTTATGAGGCTAGACCCTGTCCCAAGACGCCACGGAGGTCACCACGTGGACAGCTGGCCCCAGAACACCACGAGACCAGGCTGCCGCCTCCTCTCAGCAGTGGACACTTGGCAAGCCCGGCTGTGCCCCTCACACTGCCCACACCTCTGTACACGTTCTCTCCCTCGTCCTCGCAACCACACTGCCCATGTGCGGCCCCGTTCTGCAGGTGAGAGGTAAAGGTTCTGAGAGGCTAACTGTCCAAAGTTCCTTAAATTATACTGCCTCTCCCAGTATCTTTCTAAATCTTCCAAGTAGGCAGTGTTCTACTTTTCTCATTTTATAAGTGGGGAAACTGAGGCTCAAGGCCCCAAGGGATGTGGACCCAGAGCCGGACTTGCGCTTCCGTGAGCTAAACCACCCTGTTCTGCCCCGTACCAGCAAGCAAAGGGGAAAGACAGAGCCTCGGGACCCCCCGAACCTGCGCTGAGCTTCTGCCCAGCGCCACTGCCCCAGCCTCTCCAGGGGAGGTCAGCTTCCCCCGGACGGAGTGCACAGGCAGCACCAGGTGACCTGCAGGGCCTCCAAGCAGAACACAGCGTCACTCCCCGACCCCAGGAATGGCGTCAGTGGCGTCGGCCATCACCCGAGTGCACCCTGGCCTGGCCGGCCAGCACTCTAACTGCAGCGGCTCTTCCCCTCCACCTCGGAGCCAGAGCGAGCCCTCCACGGCCGCCGGGAGCAGCGCCCTCCCGTGTTTGTCTGACTCCCCTGACCCTGGCAAGCGCCCGTTGCCTTTTTCTCCTTTTCTCAAAAACTAGAACACAATAGGAAGCGTTTCCTTGAACTTATTAAAAAATCCAGACTTGTAAATTAATTTGTCCGTGTTGTACAAAGGCAGTGCAGATGAACTCATTAGCATGCACACAACAAATAATTATAGATGAATTTTTAGCTGGCCTGCCTAATGCGCTCACTGGGTTAATTATGTCAATGTATAATTACATCAGCCCGGGGAGACATAATGGCATACCCCGCTGAGCAGGCCCTGCCTAATGACGGGGCGTGGGGGAGCGCTGACAGAGGAAGGCAGCGGCCTTCCCGCGCACCTGCTTACCTCGGCACAAACGCCCATTGTCCGAGCCTCCCGCCACCTCAACAGGTGGTAGCAGAGGGACCTTGTTCCAGCCGGACCTGAAGGCCCCATGCATGGGCACTATCCCATTTCTTTCATCAGCGAATACTTATTGGGTCGGACTGTGTGTCCATCCACAGGGGGTCCAGCAAGTGAGCAAAAACAGATGTGGTCCTGTGCCTGCCCTGTTGTGGATTTCGGCCAAGCGTGCTTTAGTTAGGTGGACTTGCAGCTCAATGACAATTATAAGTATGACAAATGCTGTGGTAAAAAGGTGTAGGCAGCTGGGAGAACTCTCACTGGAGGACTGTGACTGTTCAAGGAAGCCTTCCTGGAAGAAATGGCATTTGAGGGGAAAAGACGAGGAAGCACTAACTAGCTGAAAGGGTTGGGGGAGGGCAAAGTGTTCTGGCAGAGGTTCCTGCCTGTACGAGAGCTCTGGGGTGGGCAGGTGCCTGTGAGGGACAGAGGGAAGAAAGTCAGTGTGCCTGGAGCCCAGGAAGGCAGCAATAGCGAGGGCTTCCATTTGTTCTGAGCTGACCAAGTGCTAGACACCGTGTTGAGCACTTGACCTGAATCCTCATCACAGCCCCATGAGATGGGTACTTGGCCAGTGAGGCACAGAGGGTTAGAGTTTCTTGCCCAGGTCACACGGCAATCCCGAGAAGCAAGTCTGGATTAGACCAGGACCCAGGGGTCCATCTTCAGGGCCCCTGCTCTTCACCCTTCTGCCCACCACTCCCCCGCCCCAGAGAGCAGTGGCCAAGCAGGTGCTGGCAGGAGGCCCCGGTGGAAGGAGCAGGAAGAGTGAGAGCTCGGTGCTTTTAAAGGGCTGAGGACCAGAGCAGGCCCCTTGACCTGGAGAGAGGAGGCCCTGGCTTCCCCGGGCCCCCGTGAGCACTCGCCCGTAGCTGCTGAGGTCAAAATGGTCACACCACTAGGCATCAGAGAGAGGGAGTCAGACCCAGATCGCACCTCCACTCTTCAGCAAGTTACCTGGGTTTTTTGAGCCTCAGTTTCATCATCCATGAAAGTGAGCTGGATGCAGGGCAGCCTCCAGGGGATGCTGGGGGCGTGATGGAACCTGTTTCCTGTGGGCAGGCTTTGTAACCAGGAAGATGCCACACCAGCCTGGGGTATTATCTAGGCACTCTTCGTGCCTGCCCAGGTGGGAAGCTGAGCAAAGGCACCTGGAAGAAGAGGTGCTGGATTCTAGATGTAAAGAAAGGAAGTGCTCGCCAGGTGATGGGGGGAGAGGGAGCAGAATTCCAGGCAGAAGGACCTGCATGCTCCTCAGTTTTTAGCTACTGGGAGGTGCAGGAGCATCTAGCATTCAGGTGGGCATCTCCAGAATGCCCTTACTTAATCAGCCCCGAGTGTCAAAAATGATTAGTCTGAGTCCACTGAGAAGCACCCAAGGATTCATTCCATGGGCAAGGATGCTATTGGGGAAATGCGGGTGAAGGACAATGGGAGGGAGCTGGGAGAACTCGGTGGGAGCATCCAGACCCCGTGCAGCCTAAGGTGGAGTCCCTTGCCCGCAGAGCAGCCCCACGTCCCCAGGAGCTGGTCTGTGTCCGTCTTCGCTGCCGGCGAGCCTTACCTGGAAAGGCCTGTGGAAAGGCTGTCCTCGGGCCAGTGGGTTTCAGAGCAGGGTCCGTGCCCTGTGGTTGGAGGCATGCAAGATACAGTCTCATGGCCACCCCAGATGGCATTGGAGAATCTGGAAAATGCAATTCTGGTGGCAGTTACTGTTATGGCTGTTCCCAGCTGTGTAGGACACACACGCCCGTGGGGACGGCACACGTTCCCCGGAACCGGTGCCTGGAGAAGGCAGAAAGTCTGTGTTGCTTCCCTAAGTCATCAGCACGACTCCAGGGACCTCTTGTGGATTGTCCCCCCAACCCCTGCCCCCCGTGGAGGGATCCGCCAGGTCCCACGGCTCAGCCTGGGCATCCCTCAACCCTCAGGACCCCCACCACCCCTGTCCTCCTCTTTCTCTGCAGACCCTGTGCCTGTATTTGAGGCGACACGCAGCCTAGACGACAGACTGCAGCCCCCCAGCTTCGACCCCAGTGGGCAGCCGCGGCGAGACCTCCACACTTCGTGGAAGAGGCACCCCGAGTTCCTCAGCCCTAAAGGTACTGACGAGGCCTTCACAGGACATCCCTCATGAACAGCTGGTCTGTGGATCTTGGGCAGCCAAACTCTGCCAGGGCAGGGGGTACACAGGGAACTCGACTTTATCATTTTATTTTATTTTTTAAAAAGTTTTATTTATTTTTAGACAGAGGGGAAGGGAGGAAGAAAGAGAAGAGAAACATCAACATGTGGTTGCCTCTTGTGCGCCCCCTACTAGGGACCTGGCTCACAACCCAGGCATGTGCCCTGACTGGGAATCGAACTGGCAACCCTTCGGTTCACAGTCTGGCACTTAATCAACTGAGCCACACCAGCCAGGGCATTTTTTTTAAAGGTCAACTTTATCATTTTAGATACCGGTGGGGTAAGGCACACTTCCACTGCCGCAGACCTAGCCCAGATGCCAGAGGCTTCGTATATTTGAAGGGGAATGGCAAGGGTGTCTCTGCATAATCACTCAGGGACTCGGCCTTGGTGGTCCTGCCCTCTGCAACATGTGACATCCAGCGCCACCATGAATGTTGACAACCGGCCAACAGGCAGAGACAGAATGTGGAGGGTCCTACCAACGTTTATGGGGTCCAGGCCTGTAAGCAGCGTACAATCACTCCCAGCCGCATCCCGCTGGTTAAAGCACAGTCCTGTGGCAATACCTGCTGCACAGGATGCTGGGAAATGTGGTCTGGCTGTGTGCCAGGAGGATGTGGTGAACACAGCACTGTCTCAGCCCCAGATGAGACAAGTCAAGAAACTCGCAGAACTGAAAATGTGTTTAGGTGTACATATAGTATGATTAAAATGTTTAAAAGCAAGAGAATGATGAACAAAGTTCAGATTGGTGGTTACCTGTGGTAGGTGACGTTGGAGGTCACTGTGGGCAGGGCAGTAAATAGGCACATGAAAGCTGTTGGTGACCTTCTAGTTCTGTGCTCATCGAGCTGCAAGCCAGACACTCTCCTAGGCACTGGGGACACAGCCAGGCACAAACCAGACAAAAATCCCTTCCCTCGTGGTGCTGGCCAGTAAGTTAATAATAGGATTTCAGATGGTGAGAAAGGCTTTGAGGAAATAACGAGGCAGTGAAGAGGGGAACAGGTGTAGAGATACTTGTCTAAGGAATGAATGAGCAGGATTTACCTCGTGTCTGCAAGATTGCTCGGTCGTGAGTGAAAGCAGCCATAGGAATGTGCGCGTGAGTGGGTGTGGCTGTGTTTCCATAAAACCTGACTTATCAAGCAGGTGGTGGGCCGATGGGGCCTGTGGGGAAGGTAAAATGGGCGGGGCCTGTCAAATGAAAGCCGGGTGCAAAGTCACTGCTCAGGAAACGTCCACTCTCACACAGCGCCCGCCTCACAGCTCCCTGCCTGCCCCCCACACACCCAGTGAGCACCTGCCGTGGAAAGGATCCTCTTGGGATTAAAATACAGTACTTTGCCAACTCTGTTCCTGTACCCGGACTGCCCTTCCAGCCATTCCCCCCTGGCAAGCCAGGATTTGGCAGTTCTTTTCCAGGTCATATGGAGGCACCTCTGAGGTTCCCCAGCAAAACTGTCACTCCTGCCTTTGAGGTTCCTCTGGCATTTGATCTTCCCTCTATAAGAACAGTAGGCATCGGGACGGTTGCCCTTTGAGAGCATTTGCTGTGTGTCATGTGCCTTTCACACAGCATCCCACTGTCTCCTGGTTCAGCCTGAGGTGTCGCTGGCCCCATTTTACAGATGGGGAAACTGAGTCGCAAAGGCCAAATGGGGATTCAGACCGATGGCTCCTGTCCTCAGCCCTGGGCTGCATCTCTCCTTGAGGACATGTGGTATTCTGTATCATGATGGTCAAACCTTGTCTTTCTGTTCACTGCCATGACCTCAGCATCTGGAAAATTCCTGTGTGTGTGTGCGTGTGTGTGCACACGCTCGAGAGAGAGAAAGAGAGAGAGAGAGAACTAGCCAGGCCCTGACCCCTGTGTCAGCCCCTCGAGGGATTCACTCTGCACACCGCCCAGCTCAGCACTTACCCTACTGTGCCAGGCTCACAGTAGGAGCTTGATAGCCAGGACAGAACTTCACTGAGCCACTGGGATCTAAGGCCGGGAGCCCAGATTCTGGAATTCTTGAGCCACCCACCCTCGACAGCTGGACCCTGAGCACCCTCTCCCCCCGTGACGACCTCGGGGCCGAAGGCACGCACTAACCCCTACGAGGAGCCTGCAGAGGTGTTCCTGGTGAGGGGCCCCTGCCTTGCGGCAGGTGGCAGCTGAGCAGCTGAGAGTGTGCTGTGGGGACAGGAGCGAGATCCAGGGTTCCTCAGTCAGCTATCCCTAGTGACCCTGTGACCCGGCAATTCTGCTCCTGTCCCAAAGAGGTGAAAGCAGGGGCTCAGACAAAAACACGGGCACCGGTGTGTATTAGCAGCGCTACTCACGATGGCCACATGGTGGCGACAGTCAAATGTCCGCCCACCGATGAACGGAAGAGCAGACGTGGCGCATCCAAAGGACGGACTGTCACGCAGCCGTCAAAAGGAACGAAGGCCTGCTACACGCTCCAACCTGGGTGGGCCTTGAAAACACTGTGACAAGTGAAAGAAGCCAGTCACGGAAGGGTATATATATCATGACGGTACTTATGTGAAACGCCCAGCATGCGAAGTCCGTGGAGACAGCAGGACTGGTGGTGGCCAGGGGAGGGAGAAGGGGGAGATGGGGGTGACTGCTTCGTGGGGACAGGTTTCCTTTTGGGGTGGTGGCATGTTCTGGAACCAGTGCAATATTCTGAATATACTCAATGTCACTGAATTGTACCCTTTAAAAATGGTGAGTTTTATGTTATGTATATTTTACCATGACTTTCAAGAAAAATAAGGGGCCACAGAGGCAGGGATGAGTCTGAGAGGGCAAAGGAAGCCTTTGGGCACGCTGCAGGAGGCTGGCAGGATGGGAACCTGACCTCTGTGTACCTGCCCTCGCCACGGCCACAACCCAGCTGACCTCGGGGACCGCAGGTCCCGCCAGCCGCGCTCTCTCCAGCACCGAGTTTAGGAAATTGATTCTTCTCACAGCACTTCCGATCGATCTGGTTTGCAGAAAGTGGCTCTGGCTGTCACACCGCTCTCAGCAATGGGTATCTTTCCATCTGTTTCTTCCCCCAGAGCAGAGAGAGGGGACATCTCCAGCCGGGCCCACGCTGACCGAGCGGGGGCGCCTCCCGGGCATTCCCAGCAAAGCCCTCCTGACAGAAACTTTGCTGCAGAGAAATGAGGCGGAGAAACAGAAGTGAGTAGGGAAGGGTCCGAGGGGCTTCTGCTGCCCCACCTGGCCGGGGGGTGGGACCCGGAAAGCCGCCCCTGCCCGGGACAGCTGGGGAATCCAGGTGCAGGTTGAGGTGGGGTCACAGGCCTGGGCCCCCGCTGCGTCTCCGCAGCTCAGTGGCCAGCTCCGGGCCGGCCACGTCGCCTCTCTGGGCTTCTGTCTCCCGATCCGGGAAAAGGGGCCAGCAGTGGGGTATCAGTCAGAGTTCTCCTGAGAAACAGGACCGGTAGGCTTTTTAAAAGTTAACTCAGAGATGGAGTTCAAGGACTTAAACCACACAGTTGGGGCTGGCGAGTCCGATGGGCAGAGCTGCCGGCAAGCTGGAGACCGCCAGGCAGGTGGGGGCCAGTACCCCTTCCTCCATTTTGTTCTTAAGACCTCGGACTGGTTAGACTAGGCCCACGCACAGCAGTAAGAACACCCTCCTTTACCCCCGTCAGCCGGCTGTAGAGGTCGACTGCGTGTACACAGCGCCTCGCAGCGACGCCTCCGTGAGTGTGGGATTGGATCGCTGGGTGCTGTGGCCCAGCCACGTGGGCACTTAACACGGACCATCACCAGGGGCACCAACACCTGCTCGGCCGTGGGAGTGAAACGAGGCGACTCCTGCCTGTGCCTGGCGGGGCGCTCGCACGGGGGAGCGAGGGCCAGTAAACGGTTGTCCTTTGGTCAGTGCGGGGGCAGTCCCATCCGGATCTTCGGGCATTTCTGGGGCAGTTTTGGGGTGGCCATTACAATTACCCTTTCGTTTATTCACTTATTCATTCATTCCACATATCTATGGAGCCACCTACTTATGTGCTGGTCACTGTTCTAGAGACACAGCAGCGGATGTATAAAACGCTCTGCCCTCGTAGAGTTTACTCTGGAGTGAGAAAGATAGAAATAATAAGATAAAATAATGTAAATGGTGTGTTAGGTGATGATGATAAGGGGCGCGAGGAGAACAAAGCAGAGAAGGAGGGAGTGACAGGGAGGGCTGGTGGGAGGGGCCTCTCGGAGAAGGGGAGCAGAGCCCTGGGGGGGCAAGGGGGTGAGCCTCGCAGGTGTATGGGGAGGGGCGTTACAGGCAGAGGGCACAGTCCATGCAAGGGGTCTGAGGCAGGAGTATGGCCCGTGTGCTTCAACAGCAAGGAGACGAATGCGGAGTGAGCGAGGCGGGGGTGGGGGTGGGGTGGGGCAGGACATGAGATCGGGGGAAAGGGGGCTCCTTCCCTGGAGTCTCTGACCCCGATGACGTGAGGCCCAGGCTGCGCCTCAGCCCCCCACCAGTCCAGGTAGGGCCTCTCGTTCTCTGCCTGCGTCACACCGAGCTGGGCCCCGAGGGGCAGGACGGGCATCCCAGACTCTTGCCAAAGCGAGGGGAGAGGGCCCCCCAGAGCGGTCACGGTACTGACGGTGCTGAGTAGCACCTGGGGATGCCTCACAGCACCCACTGGGGCAGACCCTGTCAGAAACCCCGCTTCCTAGACCGGAGACTGAGGCCCAGGGAGGCGAGGTTGCTTGCTGCTGTAGGCCCCCAAGGAATGCTGCAGGAAACCTAACTGGGCCAGCCATAATGGGGCCACGTATCAGCAAAAGAGCGGGGCAGCTGACTGCCCGGACGTTGAGTTTAAGGGCATGTGCTGTGTTGTGTGGAGGACAGAGGTGCCGGTCACAGGGGGAGGGCGAGGGGCTGGGAAACGGGGGTGGGCCGCTCAAGGCCTGTCCACACAGACTTGAGCAGAGCTGGCGCGAGCAGCCCGGTGTCTCCGCAGGGGCCTTCAAGAAGTACAAATCACTTTGGCAGCCAGACTGGGGGAGGCAGAGGAAAAGATCAAGGTTCTACATTCAGGTATGTGGCGTGTGACCCTGGCCCTGCCGGACCAGGAGAAGAGGGGGCACTGACACCACGAACACAGGCTCGGGTGTGTTAGAGTCAAGACAGCAAGAAGGGCGTTTGGGAAGGGGAAGGACAGGCCTGCACGGTCCAGCGGGGTCCGAGCCCTAGTCCCTGGAGGCCATGCTGCTGTGGAGAAAAGGTTTCAGATAGCATTAACATAGGGGTGGCAAACATCAGTCCTTCAGCCGCCCAGGACACAACCAAGCTGGTCAGGTTAGGGAAGGCAGTGGGGGAGGGTGGGGTCTGGGGCAAGCTGGAGAGCCCAGCCTTATCCAAAGCGGTGACTACTGCCGAGCACCAGCCAGGCACTGCCTTGTGGCCCAGAGCCGCCAGTCCCTTCAGTTTCCTACACAAACCAGAAATCTGGAGTTTTATGAGAAACCCCTCATTTATTATAATACTTGTATACTTACATCTGTTGAATTTGTTACTCCTGTCAGGTCCAGACCTTGGGGTGGCTGAGTTGTGGGTGGATGGTCCTGCCCTGGTCCTGGAGTGACCTAAGGGTGCCAGTGGGCTCATACCCAGGCCATGGGACACAGCCCTCAGATCAGGGTCCTCTGAGATTTATAGGGTCATCTCATCTGCCCTCCCCAGCCCAGCCACTCCACATGGCTCTCGCCAGCTTGAAGTTCCTCTAGGGCCGGGAAACACTGCCTGTCACCAGTTCTAACCAAAAAGAAAGGTCTTCCCTCACTACCCTGGACCTCGTTCTGCCTTCCAGGCCCCGCAGCAGTGGGTTCCACCTCCCTGGGGGTGGGCGGCCTCACCCTGGCTCTTTACTTTTCCCAGCGTTGAAGGCCACACAGACGGAGCTGCTGGAGCTGCGGCGGAAGTACGATGAAGAGGCGGCGTCCAAGTAAGTGAACACCCCGCTGGGGTCTGCCTCCTCCCCGGACCCTCCCAGACACGCCTCCTCTTTCTGACTCTGCCTGAGGCGCCCACTTCACTAAGCACCCTCTGCTCGCCGCCTGCTGGTCGTTGCTCTGCCATGTATGCACCGCAGGCTCGCAAGGACATTCCGGGCGCAGGCTGAGCACGGTCTGCTGGGCAGGGCCCGTGCCTCGCCCCAGCCTCCTGGGGCTCCCCGCCTCCCCAGCCCCGCGGTCCAACCCTCAGGGCTGAGTGTCATTCACTTAAGTTACTCTGTGCTCGGTGTCCCCTCAGGATTTAAGACATCACTATTCCACAAATGTTTATTTAGTGACTACTGTTTACTCAGTGCTGCGCTGGGTCCCTGGAGGAAACGTTAGAACATGGCCCTGGCAGACACTGGCTAGTGTGCAGTGATAAGTCCATTCATTCATGGACACTCCTGAGCACTTACCGTACGCCTGGCAGTGTTCCGGGCACGCGGTGAATGCTGTGAAGGGGAGAACCAGGACCAGCAAGAGGGAGTAGCAGGGAGGGGTGGTCCTGCTCTCCCGGCTGGTCAGGGAGGACTTCCCTGAGGAGACGACTTGCAGAGTGAGGCCTGCAAGGAGCAGGAGATGGCCCCATGGAGAACGCCGGGAAGGGCGCTCTGGGCAGTCGGAAGAGCTTGTGCAGAGGAGGGCCCTGAGCAGGCGTGAAGCCCACGTGTGGCTTTTAGTCGCCGGATGCTCCCCGGCCCCAGGCAGAGGGGCAGCCAAGGTGGAAGAGGCCTGTCCTGACCCCCTGAATGCTGGGGGGAGGGAGGGAGTGAAATAGAGGAGTGACCACCACAGGGGCGGTTGAGCGAGGGCTCCGGGCCGGCACCCTGGAGCTGGTGTTGCAGCGCGGGCCTGTTCTCTAGAAGCGGGCACTCCAGGCGGAAGGCCTAGCAGTGGCAAAGGCCAGGGGCGCAGCTCTGCGGGCAGCTTCGGAGCCAGGCCCCCGGGAGGGGTGAGAGGCCAGGCTGCTGGGTGCTCCTGGGAATGTGCTGGGGCCCCGGTCCCATTTCCCCACAGCCTGGGTTCTTTCCCCCAGCCTGGTTTCTCCAGTAGGAAGGGTGGGAGGCAGCCTCTCTAGGCCTCCACGTCAAGACGCTTGGGTTCAGGCAGGAGCTGGGGGTATCAGGACAGGCAGGGGTCCTGGCAGTGGCCCGAACCCCTTCCTCAGGGCCTCGTCTTTCTGTCTCAGGGCAGATGAAGTCGGCCTGATCATGACCAACCTGGAGAAGGCTAATCAGGTGAGGAGCTGTGTGCTGGGGCCCATTCCGCACGTGGTGGGGGGCTCAGCCAGTCCGGGAGGACAGGGCTACGCTCAGTTGGTGTTTCCTGAACTACATGCCACACAGAGTGCCGGGGCTGGAAGATGTCTGGGACCCTGAGCTCCCCAGGGAGGGAGAGCGAGGGTGCAGACCGAACACTCAGAAACAGGGTGATCCGGGCAGTAGCAGTCAGGGAAGGGGCTCCTCGCCCAGACTCGGGTCAGGGAGGACATCCTGGAGGAAGGGCCGTGGAGCCAGGACCCGACAGACCAGTCCAGACTGTGAGAGCGTGGTGGTCCAGGACAGGGAAGGGCCTGCATGCACCGCAGGTGGCAGGAGGGAAGCAGAGTGGTGTCCCGTGATCCCAGCCTGTAGGTACCCGTCTCCAGGCCAAGGTGGGACATGGGTCTCTCCCAGCCAGATTGAGTGAGACCGCGCTTGGTGACGAGGGACAAGCCTAGGGCTGCTTCTCCCCCTCCCTCCCCACCTGGGGTCTCCTCCAGCCTCCTCACTCAATCCCAGCCACGCTGGCCAGCACCGGGTGGACCCAACCTTCCCTGCAGCCGCATCTCCTAGTCCCAGCCTGAGTCCCTGCAAGCCCTTTAGTCTCTCGCGGTCTCCTTTTTCACGTTTATAAATGGGGCCCCTTATCCTGCCTCCCTCTGGCTTCGGATCTGGTGGGCAAAGCTGGGCAGGACTTGGAAAGGTGGTGAGGCGTGGCCACGTGGACCCAGTCTGAGATTCTGTGGGCCCACCACATCTCTGCTGCAGCTCGGGGCATGGCCAGGAGAGGCCAGCCTCGTGACAGGGCGAGTGGCCATTTCCCTGGGGGCAGTTGAGGAAGGCCCCCAGAGGAGGTCATTGCGGCTGGGCAGGTGCTCTGGCTCAAGGCACTCCAGAGGCGTGGCCCTCCTGCAGAGGCAGCGTGGAAGAGGACGGCACTGCTGGGTTTATGTTTCGAATAGGTAACCCACTCACACAGTTCACAACCCGAGAAGGCTCCCAGAAAGCTCCATCTCTCCCCGCTCCACCAGCAGCCTCTCCTACCAGTTCCCCACATCTCCTTCAGAGTTATGTTTACTCCTTTTTAAAACAGAAACAGTAGCATACTGTCCACACCCCCCTGAACCTTAGCCTCTACTTCTTAGAGCCCTTTCATGTTTGGATATAAAGCAGTTCCTTCTGTTTTACTGCTGCGTAGTGTCACACCGCCAGACGCACCATCCTCTAACCCAGGAGACCGCAAACTCGCCGTAAAGGATGGGAGACCAGATAATGTCAGCTGTGCAGGTCCCTGTCACACTGTTCGTTTGGCCATTTACGGCGGAAGCATAGACAGTATGGGAGCAAGTGTACGTGGCCGTGTGCCAGCACCACCTTACTTGCAGAAACGGGCAGTGGCTGCAGTTTGCCAACCCCGGCTCCCCACCGGTGCAGCCAGTCCCCTGTTGGTGCGCATTCGTGGTGTTTCCAGTCATTCACCACCGTCACCAACACTGCAGCGCGTGACCGCGTGCGGGCAGCGCTGTGTGCGTGCCCAGAGTGGGGTTGCTGGGCAGAGCGTCTGTGCGTTTGCAACTCGGCAGATGTGGCCAAACCGCCCTCCACGGGGCCATGCCTCCAGCAAGGCAGAGGGGGCTCGTCTCCTCGTACCCTCGCCAGTGCCGTATGTTGTGGGACTTCTGGATCTTTGCCAGTCAAATTGGCTAAAGAAAAGGGGTCTTAAAGTAGTTTTTTTGTTTAGTCCTCACCGAAGGATATGTTCATTGATTTTAGAGAGAAAGGGGAAGGGGTGGAGAGAGAGAAAGAGAAACATTGATTGGCTGCCTCCCATATGTGCCCCTCCCTACTGGGGACGGAACCCACAACCCAGGTGTGTGCCCTGACCCAGAATCGAATCCCCAGTCTTTTAGTGTGGGGGACGACGCTCCAACCAACTGAGCCGCCCGGCCAGGGCAGGAAATTAGAGTAGTTTAAATAGGAAGCACTTTTTTTAACGTTGATTTTTTCTGATTATAAAATTAAAACCTGCTCATTGTAGAAAGTATGGAAAAGAAAAGAAAGGTCGCCATACTAAGTTTTTAATACTCCGAATGTGAATAAGAGGATTCTGGAGCAGAGCAGAGCAGTATTATTACTGATATAGCCGAGACCCTGCCAGGTTGCCCCAGTTCTGATCGGGGTGCTGAGATGGAACCTGAGGTCACCCTGCTCGTGCCTGTGCTGTGGGCGAGGGACCCCCTAACCAGGAGCCTGGGTAGTTAGTTGGGAGAGGGGCCTCCTGAGAGCCGGAGACAATTGATCTCCTGAGTGTCATGAGGAACAGAAGAGGGGGGTCCTGGGTTTTTAGCATTTGCAATGCAAATGTTTGTCTCAGGGGAAGGTGAGACCGTGGGCTGTGAGCCCAGCTTTGCCACCCAAGGGACTCATCCGCAGCCTGGGTCTCATCCCGCCTTGAACTGCAAACACACCTTCTGGGAGGCGAGTCTCTGGAGCCCCCAAGCTCATCAGCCACCAACTGACTTCCTGGGCTTGTCTTTCAGCCCAGATGCCAAGTTCCAGTCACATTTGCTCCGAAAGCCCTAACTGCAGAAACCAAAATATTTTCTCCGCAGCCGCACACCCCAAACAAAACTGACTTGAGCCTGTTCTGGAACAAGGCAGGATACCAATAAATAAACAAATAAACAGATTATTTTAAATGAATTAACAAAATGGGCCAATGGACGTGTGTGGCTCTCTGTGTGTACGGAGTGGGCATAGCTTCTTGATTGCCAAGACCAGTGTGTAAGATAAACATAATCACTCGAGCCCGTGTCCCCAGCGGAGGGTAAAAATAAAGCTGCAGCTGTTCTGATTTTTCACGTCATGGCCCAAGATCCCACATACCCTGTTGATATCAATAAAATTAACCAATTATTGACACATTTATGTGTGTCAGGCACCAAGCTAAGATGCTTGATGAGTTGTGTTTTGCCAAATTACTTGCTTAAAAAACAACTGAGGAGATAGTTGCATTTGTAATCCGCATTGTGCAGGCAGGGAAACTGAAGCTGGGGAGATGAAATCTCTTACCCAAGGTCACACAAGCCAGGCAGTGACAAAGTACAGATTTCTCTCCAAAGCCACGAGGCTAGGCTGTTATTAGCATTTAGATGCTTCTGCCCAAGTTTTTTTTTTTCTCAGAGATGTTTGAAGAGTTAAGATCCCCCAGAGACCCAATTAAATAAACTGCCTCTTTCCGATTTAGAAATATGTCAACACGCCTCCTTGAGAGAGAGGTTTCATTTCCCCCATTTCACAGGAAGAAAACTGAGGCCCAGGGAGGGGCAGTGACTTGCCCAGCAGCCTACAGCAGCTTGTGGGCTGGGATGCCACCTCAGCTGATGCCCCATCCGGGGTTCCACACCAGGTGGCCTGGGAGCTGGGGACAAACGCGCCTTCTGACCAGAGTGGCCCAAAGTTTGCGTGACAGACAGAAGTGGCCTGGAAGGGCGTGGGCATGTGCCCGTCCCATGGAGACAGTACCTCCCCTCCTGCCCCAGTGGATGGGGGTGTTCTGACTCCTCTCGGGACCCCGAGAGCCCTGGGGCAGCCAAAAGTCAAGCCCAGGACCCAAGACCCAAAAAGTAGGACCCTGGGCCCTCAGAGTCCTGCCTGCCAAGCCCACGCCTGAGATGGTGCGGGGAGACGGTGGAGGGCCCACTGGAGACAGCCAGCGAGGCCCCACTCACCTCTCAACCCCACGTGTCCCCCTCTCTCCCGCAGAGAGCTGAGGCCGCCCAGCGGGAGGTGGAAAGTCTTCGGGAACAACTTGCCTCTGTCAACAGCTCCATCCGCCTGGCCTGCTGCTCCCCGCAGGGCCCCGGCGGGGTAAGGATGGTGGGCGGGCCAGAGGGAAAGGCCGAGGAAGGCCACGTTTGTGGGTATGGAGATGTAGGCTGGTCGTGCGCACCTTTGTGATAGTGTGCACGTGGATGTGTGGGTCTCTCTGTGCTCACAGTGCATGCAGCATCTTCATTGCCAAGGTCACTGTGTAGTCAAAGTCACTGTGTGACTTGTTTTACCAGCTGGGGTGAAAATACAGCCCCAGCTCTTTTAACTTTTCAAGCTCAAGCTTCTTCTATCCTGATGAACTGGAAGTCCAGTATCTTCCTTTGAAGGTCCCCTTGCCCCGAGTTGTCCAAAAATGCCAGGAACCTACTCAGACCAACGAGGACCATTGTTCCTATTGCCAGATGCCCACCCTGCCAGAGGCCAGGAGAGGGTGGGATGGTGGGTTTGGTCAATAGAGCAGCGGTGCAGTTGTAGTGGCTGCCACCAGGTGTCGCTGTTGGCTGCTGGTCTCACTGATTGGTGAATGTGTGGTATTCTCCCAGACCAAGACCAAAGTGGGGCCACATACCAAGACCTGAAGTTAACGCTCATAACCAGCCATTTGGTTCCCAAAACGTGCTGGGGTGATTCCAGCGTGGTTTCCCAGACAGCCACATGCTACGAAGAACCAGTCTTCTGTCACTAACCCCAACGTCTCTGTTAAACCTGGTTGTGCGTCTTTCTCTCTCCTCCTGGCTGGCATCCCTTTGGGGTCCTGGGGTCATTTTCTGCCAAGGGACTTAGTCAAAACCGCCCCAGCCTACCCTTCTGCCCATCCCTCTTCTCTCAGAAAGCCTTGGGTTTCTTGTGTAAAATGGTCCGCCTGCTTATAGATCTCCGCATCCGAGGCATTTGATTCACAGTTCCTGACACCGCCACGGGTCTGCCCCAGGGTGGTCGCTGTCTCCACCCGTGAACCTGAAGCGGCCGACATGAGGTTTACCTCGCCGGACACCCTGGTGCGCAGGCCCGTACGTCTGTGTCCGCCTGTGCGTTTGAGTGCTGGGATGAGTGTCTGCTCGTGACCTTTGGGAAATGACTGTGTCTTTAACCTCACTGTGCCTCGGTTTCTTCATCTGTACAAGTCAGACCTACATTATGGGATGTTGAGAGGATTACATGTAAGGTACCTAAACTAGTACTTGGTTCAGTCTGTGCTCAGTAACTGTCTAATGTTGCCATTATTATTGTTATTATTATTATTATTATGTGTCTGGGGTTCTGCCTACAATAGCATATGGTCTTTTTCAGCACATACGTGTCTGTGCGTGTCTGGTGATGCCCTGATGCCTGTGTATTTCTGTGTGAGTGTGTGTCAGCATGAGTGTTCAGGCAGGTACGTGTGTCAGTGTGTGCTGCGTCTGATAGGTGTGTCCCAGGAGGCAGTGTGTGTGTGTCGGGGGCCCGATATCCGCACGACACAGAGAGCGAACACCGGAGAGACAGAGAGAGCACGAGAGAGCCCATGAGGGCGCCCAAGAGAGAATTTGCTGATGGTTCTTAATTAAGCCCCGTGGAGCCCAGCAAAGGCTTGTGCTAATCAGCCACGGGGAGCTCTGCTGGTTTGGGGGGCAAGCTTTTCTGAGTGGCGCTCAATGCTAATTAATTTAATGTGTTCATGGCATCCGCTTCCTGTTTTAATTGTCGTTTATCTCCATGGAAGAATACCGGGGTTGGCAGTGTTGTTTTGTTGTTTTTACATTGCTTCTTAGGTTCATTAGTAACTGAGCCCAAAATCTGCGTGACTGCAGGTTCCCTCAGACAGCAGCCTCTTCGGCCTCCTCCAGGACCGAAGGACCGTTACCTAAAACCTGGAGAGGAAGCGGTGGGGCTCGGGGTTGGTGGCAAACTAGAAGGAAGGTGCCACCCCTAGCGTTGCCCGTGGCAGCAAGGCCTCGGCTCTAACCTGCTGGTCTCTTTCTGCCTTTGGCTGGGCTGTTCCCTCTGCTGGGAACATCCTGTTCCCACCACTTCCTCACCCAGCCGACTGTTTCCTTTTTTTGTTGTTCTTTCTAACAGATGTCTTATTATATAATATATATATATATATGGGGAAATGTGCATATCATAAGCATGCGGCATGCCGAGTTTTTCAGAGTGAACAAACCGCATAACCAGCATCTAGACCAAGTAGAGCATTCCTGGCCCTCAGAAGCCCCACTTGGGTCCCCATCCAGGGGCTGCTCCCCTGATCTTTAACACACAGATGGCTTTTGCCTGTGTTTGTATCTGATCTTAAGTGAATCACACACACACACACACACACGCCATGGTATCTGGCTTCTTTCGCTCCATAGTGTATCTGGGAGAGTCATCCACGTTTTTTGGAGTAGTTGCAGGTTATTCACTGTCATTGCTGTGTAGTATCACATTGTGGGAATACGCCACAGTCTGCCCACATTCTCTGGTCGGTAGACATGTGGAGGGTTTCCAGTGGGCTTCCGTGAGCATTGGTCTGGGTCTCTTGGTGGGTGCACAGGGGCCCGCGTTTCTCCTGCACACCTACCAATGAGTGGAAGCGCATGTGTTCCCCTTTAGTGGTTGCTGCAAAGCAATCTTCCAAATCCCTAATGTGCTCTTGAACTTCATTGTGGTCGAGACACATCTTCCTCCTGAAAACCTTCCCTGCTCACTTTCCCCCCGACCTGTTTAGTGTCAAGAATAGAGGGAAAGGCATCTAGGCTGGTAGGTCCAGCCTCGGAAAGGCTCGGAGGCCGGGAGAGGAAAGCCGCCAGCCTGTCGGAGGGGCCGAGTCATTCTGGGGCGTCCAGCACAGGGACTTGGGCGTGGGGAGGCCGGGCCCGCAGCCCCTCAAAGCCCTGCTCTGTCCTCAGGATAAGGTGAACTTCGCGCTGTGCTCGGGCCCGCGGCTCGAGGCGGCCCTGGCCTCCAAGGATCGGGAGATCCTGCGGCTGCTGAAGGACGTGCAGCACCTCCAGAACTCCCTGCAGGAGCTGGAGGAGGCCTCCGCCAACCAGATTGCCGACCTGGAGCGGCAGCTCTCAGCCAAGTCCGAGGCCATCGAGGTAGGTCACGGGGGAGGAGGCAGGCAGATGGGAGATGGGTGGGGCATCCCTGGGTGGCACAGCCCAGCCTCACCATCTTTATTTGCTCCCCTAGAAGCTGGAAGAGAAGCTCCAGGCACAGTCCGACTATGAAGAAATTAAAACAGAGCTGAGGTACTAGGCAGAGTGAGGCCCCCCAGCCCCCAAGCCCTCTTTCCTGGCTGGGGTAACCGGTGCAGGCAGCAAGGGCCCTCGGCAAAGTGCATCACCTTGCTCCCTCCCCCACACTCCACTTCGTGGGCTCCTTGTCTCCTCACCACTGGCACCTTGGGTGTCATGCTCGGTCCTTCGCCATCGAGAGCTGTCTAAAGGAGCACGGGAAAGGCAGCCCTGCTGGGGGCGGTGTGAGGGTGGAGGGGAGGCAGGGAGGCCGTGTCGATCACATACGCTCACTCAGCCGGTGTCGGGGCGCATAGCAGAGCACCCCTCCCAGCCACGTTGGAAGCTCCCGACAGCCCCCGTTACAGTGAACCCAGCGCTGTGCGGGTCCGGCGGGGGGGGGGGGGGAGGCCGCTTGTTCTGGGCCAGGGAGGGCGAGTCACGGGAAGCGCCTCCCCAGGGCCCCTCTCCGGACAGGAGGAGCCTGGCTGGCCTCACTGTCTCCCCTCTCCCTGGCAGCATCCTGAAAGCCATGAAGCTGGCCTCCAGCACCTGCAGCCTCCCCCAGGTGAGCGTCCCTGCCACCGTCCCCGCGGGGCAGGCTGTCCCTGAGAGCCTTCCCCCAAGCGGCCCTCTCAGCCCGGCCTCTCGTCCCCGCAGAGCCTGGCCAAGCCCGAGGACCCCCTGCTCATGGCAAAGGAGGCCTTCTTCCCCGCACAGAAGTTTCTGCTGGAGAAGCCCGGTCTCCTGGCCAGCCCTGGTAGGCGAGAGAACGTTCTTGGGGCTGAGGGCTGGGTGGGGGTGTCCACCGACCACTGCTCTCCACTGGGGCCGGAGGATGATGGGAAAAGGGGTACGTGCTGATGGTGCACCTGCTGTGTGCCGGGCACCGAGCCAGGCACCGTCCCTGGCTGAGCCAGCTGGCAGCCGTCCCGTAGGAAGTCCACACGCATGTGTGGGACAGACCGCTCAGGGACAGACTCAGGGACAGACCGCTCGCCCGGGCCCCGGGGCCTGCACTCAGCCCCAGGCCTCACGGGCAGTGGGATGAGGTCACGGGCCAGGGAGGGTGTTCACAGGCCCCGCACAGCAGGCCAGGGGAGGGCCTGCAGGCGCTGCTTTCTCCAAAGTCTCCTCCTCAGCCACTTGTCCCTTCTCTGTATGCAGTGACACCGTGACTTTTAGCCGTGTGGCCCCAGCCAAAACTCTGCTGCCTCCATTTCCTCACCTGAAAAGTGGGGAGGGGGGTGCCAGTGATGGCCCCACTTCACTGATGAGGCAGGTACAGGGCACCCAGGAGTGGGCCCGTCTGCTGGGTGGGGTTAATCCGAACTCCCCGCTCCCAGGCAAGGAGCCGGGCCTGTGTCAAGTGCTCAGTTAAAGTTCTTCTCGGCAGGAAGGAGGGCTCCCCAGAACAGGCGTTCGGGCCAGGCCTTGAAGGGCCGGGGTCTGAGGGTGGGGGAGGGGCTGCTGGCAGACAGGGTGTCAGCGCTGGAGGCCTATAGCGCTTCTCTCTCTCCCCCCTCTTTCCCCCTCCCCTCCCCCTTCCTCTTCCCCCTGTCTCTGAATGTCGTCTCCACGTCGCTCTTCGTCTTCCACTGTCACTCCGTCTCCTTCTCTGTATCTCTGTCTCTCCCGCTGTCCCTGTCTTTTACTCTGCCTCTGCCTGTCTCCCTGTCTCTAACTCTCGCTGTCTCCGTCTCACACACGATTGCCCTCCCATGTAATGTCTCCCCGCCTCTCTTTCCCTGCCTGTCTCTTTTGTGTCTCTTTCTCTGTGTGTGTACTTCCCTCCCCGTCTCTCTGTCCCCACCGTCATCTGCTTCTCTGCCTCATTCGCTCTCCACCTCTCCCTCTCCCTCCGTCTGTCTGTCTCCCTCTAGAGGAGGACCCATCGGAGGAAGATTCCATCAAGGACTCTCTGGGCACGGAGCAGTCCTACCCGTCTCCTTCGCAGCTCCCACCCCCTCCAGGGCCGGAAGACCCCCTGTCCCCAGGCCCTGGGCAGCCCCTGCTGGGCCCTGGCCTGGGCCCCGATGGCCCTCGGACTTTCTCGCTGTCCCCCTTCCCTGGCCTGGCCTCAGGGGAGAGACTGTCGGGGGACGTGCTGCTGTCTAAACATCTGGTGCCCCCAGCCACCTTCAAGGGAGAGTCGGGCAGCCTGCTGGTGTTTCCCCCAGTCTTCTATGGCGCCAAGCCCCCCACAGCCCCCGCCACCCCAGCCCCTGGCCCCGAGCCACCCGGGGGCCTCGAGCCGGCTGACAGTGGCGGGGGCAGCATGGCCGGGGCAGGGCCCGGAGCAGAGGAGGAGCAGCTGGACACAGCCGAGATCGCGTTCCAGGTGAAGGAGCAGCTGCTCAAACACAACATCGGGCAGCGGGTGTTCGGCCACTACGTGCTGGGGCTGTCGCAGGGCTCGGTCAGCGAGATCCTGGCCCGGCCCAAGCCCTGGCGCAAGCTCACGGTGAAGGGCAAGGAGCCTTTCATCAAGATGAAGCAGTTCCTGTCGGACGAGCAGAACGTGCTGGCCCTGAGGACCATTCAGGTGCGGCAGCGAGGTGAGTGCCTGCCAAAGGCCTTTCCCGCAGCCAGGCCCGGGCAAGCCGCTGGCTGGGCCTGAGAACGCGGGCTCTGGGGTCAGGGCCAAGCTCAGCCGCTTCCAGCTGTGTGACTTGCAACAAGTGACTTTGCCTTCCTGTGCCTTACCTTCCCCCTCTGTAAAATAAGGAGACACATCCTCTCTGCCTCCTTCCTGGGGTCTGTGACTGCCTCTTCCCACCTGGCCCTCATGGGGCAGCTCCACAGTAGTGGGAAAAGGCTGGGTCTCCCCCCTGAGCTTAGTAGGTACCTCAGAGCCTCAGTTTACCCATCCATTCTGTGGCCTGGGTGACCACCAAACTTGCCAGACCCGATCTTCAGGCTACCCCATGCGAAGGGCCCAAGCCTGACCTCACAACACCAGAGTTTGCCCCCGAGTGTGCCCCAGCTCTGCCCTCTACCCATGGGGGGATCTCAGGAAGCTCACTTGAGCTTCCTAAGCCTCAGCCACCCCATCCATCCGCCTCCAAGGGGGGTTACATGAGTATAAAGCACGTAGTAACTGCCTGAGGACTGTGAGCTGTGGCGGTGGCTGCTACCATTGTCGTCATTATTTCAAGCCAGAGTCACTGGTGGGTCCACAGTGTGTCACACAGTAGCCTGGCCCTGGGCCTGCCACACACACTCACGGTCTGGGCCTCACTCCCCCAGCCCTGGGGGGAGGGGCCGGCCATTCACCCCACCCAGCCCCAGGGACTGCTCCCCACATGCAGGTCCCCGTAACAGGGCCCCCTTGCCTCTCCCAGGCAGCATCACCCCGAGAATCCGCACACCAGAGACGGGCTCGGACGACGCCATCAAGAGCATCCTGGAGCAGGCCAAGAAGGAGATCGAGTCACAAAAGGGGGGTGAGTGTAGCAGGCGAAGCCGGTGGCCTCTGGGGCCTGCTCTGAGCGAGAAGCGGGGCCTCGGCCCCCCCTTTCCCATCGTGCACCCAGAGGGGATCCCAGCCTCTCCTGGTCCCCAGCCAGCCAAGGGCTAGGCCCAGAAAGCGCCGGATCCATGCTGTCCAATACGAAGCCACTAGCCACACATGTCTGTATCCATTCAAATTAAATACAACTAAATAAAATGACAGCTTCTTTAGCTACACTGGCCACATCGCCCATGTGACAAGTGGCAGCCGTATGGGACAGCACATCTCGGAATGTCTCCCTCACCACTCAGTTCTGGGAGCGCTGGCCTGGACCAGTCGGTGTCGGCCTTTCAGGGGCCCCAGACCAGTAATCACGGGGCAGCACGTCGCACGCACCACGGCCTGAGCCTCACCCCGACTGCCAGTCCCCGCTCCTTGCACTGCACCTTCTGATCCCCAAGGAGGCACTGGTCCGGCCTCCTCCCGCGTCCCAGACGGCGCCGTCCTCACCTTCCCAGCCAGAGTCCTCGCCCAGTGCTGCTGCCAGCCTCAGACTCAGTGGCCGAAAACAACACGAGTTTGTTATCTTCAGTTCTGGGGGTCAGAAGGCCAAACGCCGCCTCCCTGGGCTAGTCAGGGAGTCGGCAGGGCTGCCCCCTTCCGGAGGCCCCCGGGGTAGAGTCCACTCCTTACCTTTCCAAGCCCCTCAGTGAGGCCCACATTCCTTCCTCCTGGCCCTTTCCTCCATTGTCAAGTCCAGCATCCCAGCCTCTTCAGCTCTCTCAGATCATCCCGACTCCCTCTTCCAAGCGCCCCTGGGGTTATGTAGGGCCACCCAGAAACTGAGGATAAGCTCCCCATTTCGTGGCCCTTCACTGTAATCACACGGGCAAAGTCCCCTTTGCCGTGTAAGGTAACATACCTACCAGTCACGGGGACGGGGACGGGGATATCTTTGAGGGGCCACCTCTCACGAGTTCCAGAGCCACAAGCCGGCTGCTGGGCCTGTCCACCAGGGTCCCCACTGGCATCTCGGCCTCAGTATGTCTGAGACGGAGCTCACTGTCTTCCCCTGCCCCTTACTCCCTCTTCAAAGTCACCCACTCAGGGCTGAGAACCTGTCCCAGAGGGCGCTAGAAACCCAGAGTGAGTTGAAGGGCTGCCCTTGACCTCTCCCCATGGCAGCCATTTAGCCAGCCCGTCCAGGGACACTCACCCTCCAAGAGATTTTTTCAAGCTTGTCCATTCCGCACCCCAATTGCCACCAGCTAGTGAGCCACCATCGTCACTTGCTGGGGCAGCTGTAAGAGTCTCTGCACGGGTCTAGGCCCCACTCCACCTGGACATCAGAGGGATCTTTCTAGGGCACACACCTAGTGATGTCACGACTCAGAATCCTTCCACGGCTCCCCGCCGCCCTGAGGATGAAACCCCAGCGCCACCACAAGGCCTGCGGTCTCCAGAGCCCTCCCGATCCCTCCACGTCGCACACGTGCACGGTTTATAACCATCCTCATCCTCATCCCCTGCTGCCGGCCTCGTCCCAGGCACCTGGCACCTGGCCAGCTCCTCGCACTGTATGACTCAACTCAGAAGTCAGCTCCTCCAGGCCCCCCAACCCGTACAGATGGAGTGGATACTGCTCCTCCTCGGATCCCCCCAAATTACATCTATGCTTAGTGCAACGGAGCCAGTGCGCTGTGCTGCCAGTTCTGCCTGGCCCTGGTGTTGATGAGCTGTGTGACCTGGGCCAGTTTCCTTAGCCTCTCTGTGCCTCCATTTCTCACCTGAGAAATGACGACAGTGTTAATAGTCCTTAAGGTTGTGTGAGGGTCAAGTGAGATCAGCCCTGGCAAGCATGCAGCCTGGGACCTGGCGTATAGAAGTCACCCGTGAAAGGTTAGCCTTTCTTACAGGTAACATGACCATTATTAGGTCTCTGTTCTTTCATTTTTCCTGTTACAAATGACCCTGCTGATGTGGCTGTCCCTCCCACTGGTCTGGGGGCTTCTTGCAGCCAGGGACCGGCTGCATCCCTGCACAGTGGAGTGCAACGTGGTTATAACGCGGTTGCTGACTTAGAACAGGTTTCAGTGCTCCCACTCTCTTTTGCAGTGTCTGCTGCCCCCCGGTGTTGGCTCAGAGCAAGTGTCCTGATTCCCAAGCCTCTGCTTGGCTGCTGGGAGCCAAGAGATTCCCAGAGGCCCTCCCTTTGCCTGTTCCCTGAGGGGGCTGGAGGGCTGCTTACCCTGCTAGGAGCCCACAGTGCCCCAGCCACAGAACCTGCCGAGCCCCTCCTGTGCGTACACCCGTTTCTTTTGCTCAGCCACTGTAGTGAGAGAGGGGCAATCATTCTGGGAACATTTACTGTGTACTCGACACAGGTTACAGATGTGGATGAAACACTCCATTGGGTGAGAAGAACCATGTGACACAGAACAGCTGAGGCCAGAGAGGGCGAGCTGTGCCCACAGGGACACAGAGACCAAGGCAGGACCCAGGGCTCCTGGCTCCCTAGTCAGGATCTCTCTCACTGGGGGTCAGCAGCGAGGCAGTGGGGAAAGTGGAAAGGCAGCATCACGGCAGAGGGCCGGCCAGGAGGCGTGCGTTCTGTGAAGGGCTCAGCGGGAGGTAGGAGGCCAAGGTTACAGCCCCACACCCCTGACACGGGGTCAGCGCTGAGCAGAGAGCCCCCCAGGGAGGGAGGGAGGGGATTACTGTGGCTGACTGCCAACGCGGGAGTTTCACTTCTGGGGACTGGAGGGGATGTCCACGTTGGGCACAAAGATTTTTAGACAAGTCTTTCCTTTATCGTTGTCACAACAGTGAGAAACTAGAAACAACCTAAGCGCCCAGAGTGGGGGGAGCAGGTGGTAAAGCAGAGGCTGTCCCCCCAGTAGGGCATGCCACCACTGAAGACAAGAAGGGAGAGACAGGCATCGACTGGTCGCTCCACTTACGTACACATTCGTTGGCTGGTTCTTGTATGTGCCCTGACCAGGAATTGAACCCGCGACCTTGGCATGTCGGGGGTAACGCTCTAACTGACCGAGATACGCAGCCAGGGCAAGAGAACTTGGAATCATAGGGGAAAATACTCACGTGGACACGAAGTGGGGACAAGCCAGGCAACACTCGCACTTCAGTATGATCGTCCCACGCGTGGTGTCGAGAAATGGATCGAGGGAATACCCGGGAACGTTTCCTGTGGTTCCCTCTGGGAGGGAGGCTAGAGGGGGTCTTTTCATTTCCGCCTTAGCTTTTTGTGTTCTCTTAGCTCTCTGCAGTGTGCACATATTATTTTTTTTAATTGAGGTGAGTCACATAACAGAATTAACCATTGCAAAGTGAACAGTTCGGTGGCATTTACTATGTCCCCAGTGTCGTGCAGCCACCACCCTTATCTAGTTCCAAAACATCTTCACCACCAACAAGGAAACACCGTGCCTGCTTAGCAGTCGTTCTGCATTCCCTTCCTCCCAAGCCCCAGGCGGCCGCCGGTCCTCCCTCTGTCTCCGTGACTCCCTATTGTGTAAATTTTTGTGTAATGGAAACTTTGTATAAATGGAAATTATGTGTAATATTTTGTGTAAAATATTTTATGTAAAATATTTTACATAAATGGATATTTTGTGTACATGGAAATTATACAAGATGTGGCCTTTTGTGTCTGGCAGCTTTCACATAGCAACATGTTTTCAAGATTTTTTTTCCCCATTGTAGCAGGTACCTCTGCTTCATGCCCTTTTGTGGCTGAATAACATTCCCCTGCTGTATTACTTTTTAGTCAGAAACACAAGAGAAATTATTTTTAAAATTAATGGGGCTGCGGGACCCACCAGGGCGGGCAATACCACAAGGTAACAGGGAAAGGGCTGCGTTGAGTTGGCGTGGTCCCGGGGTGGGGAGACCCCGGCGTGGGAGAGGCCACTCGTGAGGCAGAGGGAAGCATCATTCTGTTGTTCCTTTTTGTTTATTAGTTTACAAGATTTTTTTGCTAAATAGCATATTGTTTATTTTGCTTGTTTTGGAGCTCTAAAGGAAGCAGATTATACTGTGTATCATCTTCTGGAGCTTCTCATTTTCATTCAGGATTCATGTGTGGTTTTACACGGTGACTTTTTATTGCTGTGTAGTATTCCGTTGTGTGCCCTTACCACAATTTATCACCCACTCCCTCCTCCGTGGGCGTCTGGGTTTGTGCCGTTACTTCGAGGTTAGAATAAGTGAAACAGCCTCTTTTGTGTACTCTAGTTAGTGTTTTTCTTGTCTTTGAACATTTGCATGGATGGGTCATAGCATATGTAAAAGGGGAGTCTTTTTGTACATTACATTACCCCCATGAGTATTTTCTGAACATATGCCAAAATCTCATTGTCTACCCATCTTAATGGATGCCTAATAGTCTGCCATAGAGACGGACCATAATTTAATCCCCCAGTTCCCAGTTGGTGGACACAGAAATTGCTTCCAGCATTTTGCTGGTATAAAGACGGATGCTGTGACCATCTTTGTCCTTTAAGCCATGCCCTGATGAAGGGCCTCTGGCCACCTTGTCATGCACCCCGCAGGTGAGCCCAAGAACTCAACAGCCCCGCTGAGCATCACCAATGGCACAGCGTCTGCCAGCACCTCAGAAGATGCCATCAAGAACATTCTGGAGCAGGCCCGCCGGGAGATGCAAGCACAGCAGCAGGCCCTGCTGGAGATGGAGGCGGGCCCCCGGGGCCGCTCGGTGCCGCCCTCGCCCCCAGAGCGGCCCTCGCTGGCGGCGGTGAGCCAGAACGGGGCCCCGACCTACGTCAAGCAGGAGGACAGCAGTGGCGGTGGGGGGACCAGCAGCAGTGCCACGCAGACGCCCCTCACCGTCCTGTCCCCCGCCGCCTTCGTGCAGAGCATCATCCGGAAGGTCAAGTCCGAGATTGGCGACGCCGGCTACTTTGATCAGCACTGGGCCTCAGACCGAGGCCTGCTCAGCCGCCCCTACACCTCGGTCTCGCCCTCACTCTCCTCCTCCTCCTCCAGCTACTCCGGCCAGCCCAACGGACGGGCCTGGCCCCGTGGGGAGGAGGCCCCCACGGCCCCCGAGGACGAAGCAGCAGGGGGTGAGGACGAGCCCCCCAGGCTGGGCGAGCTCAAGGCTGAGGGGGGTGTCCCCGAGTTGGGCAGCGGCGGGAGGCTGGCCTACTATCCAGCGTACGTGCCCCGCACACTGAAGCCCACCGTGCCGCCCCTGACCCCTGAGCAGTACGAGCTCTACATGTACCGTGAGGTGGACACGCTGGAGCTGACGCGCCAGGTCAAGGAGAAGCTAGCCAAGAACGGGATCTGCCAGAGGATCTTCGGGGAGAAGGTGAAGGTGGTGCAGCAGGGATGGGGAGGTGGCAGGAAGCTCAGGTTCATGGGACCGGGGAGAGGGACCAGCTGAGGACCCAGCCCCCGGTGCTTGTAGCCTGCACAGAAGCGTGTATGGGTGAGAACAGGGCAAAAGCAGGATTTGAACCCAGGTCCTTGCGACCACAAAAGTCCATTTTTCTGTAAGTAGCTGTCTCTGAGCCCTGTGGGGAGGGGAGTGCCACGGGCAGAGCATTCAGTTCCGTGGTGTTAGATCTGTGAAGCGTGTTCGTCTGGTTACCAACAACCACTGAGCCAGCCTCCCTCCTCCAGGACACTCCCTCCCTCCGTCGGCCCTCCGTCGGTCCAGCCACTGAAGGGGTTAAGGTTCAGTCCAGCCAGGGGTCTCCTGATGGGTTGGTGTCCCTGCAACACCAGTGGTTATGTAGTTTTTTAACATAACCTCTGCCCAGGAAGGGGAGCAGGCAAACAGTCAGACCAGCCCAGAGAAGGGAGAAGTGACCTAAGTGGAGACACAGGAAAGCCTCCTGGAGGAGGGGGCCCATGAGGGGTCTTAACGGCTGGGTGGGATTTTTACATGTGGGGACATCGGGAGGGCACTGCAGGAGGGGGTGCAGCACAGCACGGAGCAGGCACAGAGTAGGGAATGAAGACCAAACGAAGGCAGCCCCGGCCTCTCTGAACAGCGGTGCCTGAGGGTCTTGAAGGGAGAGGGGAGGTGATGGCGTCTGTCCCCGGGGCCTGCTGACCTGCCCTTTCTGCCCCCCCATCCCCAGGTGCTGGGCCTGTCACAAGGCAGTGTGAGCGACATGCTGTCCCGGCCGAAGCCGTGGAGCAAGCTGACGCAGAAGGGGCGGGAGCCCTTCATCCGCATGCAGCTGTGGCTCTCGGACCAGCTCGGCCAGGCCGTCGGCCAGCAGCCCAGCGCCTCCCAGGGTGAGTGCCCACAGGGCTGTTCCGAGGGGCGCCGCCAGCTCCCAGAACTGCAGAGCCCTCGTTCCTCTGCTGTGCAGTGGCACGTGCGTCTGCTTTACTGCCCACACTTGCCACTCTCCTCGGCCCTGCCATCCGGCCACCGTTGCTGACCCCCTGGAAGACTGCAGTGAGCTCCTAGCTGGTGCCCTCTGCCCTGTGCATCCTTCCTGCAGTTGGGGGCATGCATCTGTCGTGGGTTCAAACCTCCAGGTGGTGCCAGAGCAAATGCAGAACATAGCTGCATTTGGAGCCCCAGCCTCCGATCCCCTGTCAGAACCGCTGACTGAGGTCTCTTTCCCAAGGACCCAGTGTGCACCCCCAGAGTCCTTCACATAGGGCCTTGAGCAGCCCTTAATGACACATAGGCAGGACGGGGCTTGGACTTCGTCTCGGTGAGGAAACTGAGGCTCGGAGAGTTGCCCGAAGTCAAAGAACCTAAGAGTGGAGAGAAGGGGCAGGGGGTGGACTCCAGGGAGCCCAGGTTCCCTCTCCGGGATGCTCAGTGGGCAGGCCCATCCAGGTACCCGTCCAGGCCATGAGTGGACTTCAAAGACAGGACATCTGATCTGCCGCTGAGACCAGAGAAAGAAAGGCAAGGAGAGTCCAGACTCCGAATCCTGGGACCTCAGGGCAGTCAGTCTGTCCATCTGTAAGGTGGGGGTCAGTCCATAGGACCAAACCACATCTCGGGTTCACAGAAGTGAACCAGGTGGACAGGTACCCACAGGAGTACTGCCTGAAACACATCGTCAAGCAACAAAAGCCTAGGTCCCCGTGGCGGTGTTGATTTTAGAAGGTAACGCCCACAGACAGGAGTGCACCTTGTTGCAGCATTAGGGCTACAAGTTTATGCGTTAAAGTGAAAAAGAAGCAGCCGCCACCCACCTGCCTGGGGAAAGGGGCTGCTGGGGGGCGGGGGGGCGGGGCAGGAAGAGACTGGCTGGGAGGGAGTCTCTGGCCGCCTCTCCTTCCTTTTTTCTTTAAAACGAAGGAGATGTGCAGCCAATAGGGGGCGTTACCATCTATTAAGGTGGTGGTCCCGGGCAAGAGAGAGAGGACTTAACGTTTTCTTCTCTGTACGTTTCTGTAGCTCTGAAAAACTTTATAATTAAATTTTTTCATTGAAAAACTCTGACCCTGGCTGGTGTGGCTCAGTGGATTGAGTGCCAGCCTGCAGACCAAAGGGTCACCAGTTCGATTCCCAGTCAGGGCACATGCCTGGGTTGTGGCACCCAGTTGGGGGCGTGCGAGAGGCAACTGATTGATGTTTCTCTCCCTCTCTTTCTCCCTTCCTTCCCATTTCTCTAAAAGTAAGTAAATAAAATCTTTTAAAAAAGAGAGAGAGAAACCCTGCTCCATAGGTTATTGTGAGGACAGTCTATTGTTTTCCCAGCCTGGCCCTTCCCCATTAGCGTTGTGTCTGTGCTGGTGACAGTGACCGGGGCCATGTCAGCTCCAGCATCACAGGGATGTCACCTGGATGTCCAGGATCAGCCAGTTTGGGGGCAGGTGGGACCACAGAGTCCTCGAGACCCGAGACGCACGCTGCCGGCACGTGGGGCCGTGACGGCCCACTCGGAACTCTGAGGCCACGCTGCGCACCTCTGGGATGCGCCAGGGCCCCGGCCGGCAGGTCCACGCAGCGCCGCCCTGGGCACGCGGGAGTGCTCAGCGGAGGGGGCCCCGTCGGTGGTCGTCCTCGCCGCCGTCGTCGTTGCCAGCTGGTGAGGGAGAGACCGGGCACCAGCAGGAAGCCCCAGTGAAGCCGGCTCTTTCACACGCCGTCCGGCTCGGGGTTGTCGGAAGCGTCCCCGTCCCCGGGCCCAGGCCTCGTCCCCGGGCTCAGTGCGTTTTTGGCAGGGGCGTCACAGAAGTGACGCCGAACCTGTCTCAGCGCCGTCAGACCTCGGTTCTCGGGATCTCCCACCTCGAACAGCTCGATTCTCGACCAGGTGGTTCACAGACAAAATGTCTCGGTTGTCCAACAGAACTTCAGTTCCTGACCGGACAACACTCGCATGCTGTTACCGGTACGATCGGTCTCGCGCCTCTCGGGTGCCAAACAAAGCGGATCTGGTTTGCGAACAAACCGCTCCTTGAACAGCCTTCCGGAACGAATTAAGTTCCAGCGGAGCCGAGGTCCCACCAGATACGGGACCAGGAGGCAGCGGAGGCTGGCCTGGCCCTCGCTGGGTGATGCCATCTCGGACCACTTGGTCGAGGTGGCATCTGCCAGCTGTCTTTACTGTGAAGCCGCCGTTGTCCCCTCTGTGATTAATAACTCCTTTGCGGGGGCGGGGGGGCACTTCGAGACCATGTAAACTTTCATTTGCCAGCTTTCCCACCCAGGACGTTCCCTGAGATACTGTGGTGGCTGCAGAAGGGGTTGCTGCCAACTCTCCGTTCTGACAAACAAGACGGCCCAGCCCGCGTGTGTCTAGGCCGGGCCGCAGTCACCACCTTCTCTGTCTCTCTGTGGCCTGCAGCCAGCCCCACCGAGCCGAGGTCCTCGCCGTCCCCACCCCCCAGCCCCACGGAGCCCGAGAAGAGCGCCCAGGAGCCCTTGAGCCTGGCCCTGGAGAGCAGCAAGGAGAACCAGCAGCCGGAGGGACGCTCCAGCTCCTCGCTGAGTGGGAAGATGTATCCCGGCAGCCAGGCCCCGGGGGGCATCCAGGAGATGGTGGCCATGTCCCCCGAGCTGGACACGTACTCCATCACCAAGAGGGTCAAAGAGGTTCTCACCGACAATAACCTTGGTACGGGCTGGTGGGGGGGGCGGGGGGGTGCCAACGCTCCTACTCTCCTTGAGAACAGTGCCCTCGGTGAGCTCCCAGGGCGCGGGGTCCAGCCTGCAGGCGCCCGTCTGCCCTGGCGCACCCGGGACCCTCCAGGAGGCACCCGACTCGGACCTGGGCCCCTAGAGAATTGGATAAAACAAGCACGTGAATAAAATCCACCCAGGCCTCCCAGTCACCATCCAGTTTTTATGTACCCTTGACATACTTTCTGAACACACACAGAATATGTGCGCCCTGGGGTCTTCTTCCCTCTTTTCCACGTAGGTGAGACCGCGCGCGCACACACACTGTCCTACAGCTTGCTTTTGGGAACTCACTCTGCAGACACCCTTGCACGTTAGGATAGCCGGGCCGCCTGCGTTCTCTCTCACTGTTGTCAGGAGTTTTAGACCAGGAGGCCCATGCTTCCCACCCAGCTGGGGGGCGTTCTGGCTGTCCCCGGTCCCCCGCCCCCCTGAAGCCGTGTCCAGATGCAGCTCTGCATCCCTAGGCAGGCACACTGGGGGGCGGACCCCGCCGAACCAGACGCTGTGCACACTAAAACTTTGGTGGAATCTGTCGAATTACGGCCCAACAAGGTGACTGTAAAGCACACGTGAGGTTTGCAGACAATCCCAGGGACCCCCTAGGAGGGAAGGACGTCTGAAGTAGGAAAGTGTGTTTGTTGGTAGCCGCCTGCCCTCCACCACCACCACCACCCCCCGCGCAGCCCTCTGTGGTGCAGAAAGATCCCCTCTCAGTCCACGCTGGGTGTGGGCTCCCCCGTGTCCCAGTCAGTGGAGACAGCCTGGGTTCTCCGCTCAGCCTCCCCCGAGAGCGCCCCGGCCAGGCCTGGGGTAACGAGGCCCCTCCTGTCCCCAGGGCAGCGGCTGTTCGGGGAGAGCATCCTGGGCCTGACGCAGGGCTCCGTGTCTGACCTGCTGTCCCGGCCCAAGCCCTGGCACAAGCTCAGCCTGAAGGGCCGGGAGCCCTTTGTGCGCATGCAGCTGTGGCTCAGCGACCCCCACAACGTGGAGAAGCTGAGGGACATGAAGAAGCTGGAGAAGAAAGGTGAGCACCGGGTCCTCTGGGTCGGCCTCGGGTTTTCCCATTGGAACTGTACCTGGCTGTGACCCAGACAAACCCCGGGCCCCGGGGGTCCGGTCTGAGCCTGGTGTGGGGCCACAAGGAAGAGCAATCCCACAGAATACACCTGGAAGCAGTTAAAATACTCACTGCTTCCCCCGTGGAAATTCCAGTGCCCCGTCTCCCTCAGTGCCCTAGCACACACCCATGGCTCCTGGAAAGTCTTCGGCCTGCCCCACTGCCATGCCCCAAACGCGCCTCTCTGACCCCCCCGTCCTCTGCATCAGCTCCTTGATGTGTAGTCGCGGGCACACCCCCCTTTGCCCGTTACCCAGATTCCGCACAACAGAGCAAGATCGGCCCAGCCAACAAGACTCGGGCCGGGGGGGCGTGCCGTGAAGAGATGGCAGGCTCTCTCATTGTCCATTGTTATCTTCTATCCCTGAAGAAATGAGCCGGCGAGCGCCTGCGGTGTGCCCACCCAGTCCCATGCTGTGCACAAGGGATTCCCGGACCTTCCTTAAAAAGTTCAGGGTCCAGTTGGACGATGGGGTTCAAGGAGTTGACAGTCGTCACCCAGGGCACCCCAGGTGGTGCATGAGGAGAGAGAGCCCCCGGTCCCACCAGGCTGTGAGGGACACGTGGGCCAGGGCCAAGGCTGGGCTGTTGGCTCTGACAACTTGGCACTTGAGGACCTGGCCCACCGCTTTCCAGCTGTGTGACCTTTAGCAAGTCACTTCCCCTCTCTGTGCCTCCTTGTACTTCATCGGAGATTAAGAGTCAGTAGCATCCACCCCACAGCGTTACTGTGAGGATAAGTGAGACCCTCATCCCTCTCACCCTCCCTTCTGAAGTGGGCTTCCCCCCGCATTTTGATTTGAGGTTGAGATGCATTTGTGGGGTTCCCTGCCTCTACCCCCAACAAGACCTCAGTGAGTTTTAGCGACACATCTGAGAACGCCTCACAGCGCCCTTTTTTGAGCATTTCCTATGCGTGAGGTGTCCTGCTAAGCCCCCTACATATGTTAGCATTTTGGGGGCTGATGCCAGTCCTTAAAGGCAGGTCGGGCTGGCAGGCAGCTGTGGCCAGGTGCGAGCCTCAGCCACGGGGCGGGGAGGGTGTGGAAGGAGAGCAAGGAGAGAGGGAGAAGGATGAGACCGGGAGCTCAGGCGCCAGGTTTGGGGCACACAGGGCTCTCAGAGGGGTTGGCTGGTGCAAGGTCCAGCCCCAGGAGCCTGACACTCCTGCTGCCCCTGGGGTTGGTGGGGGTATCGAGGTGCCTCTGGGCAGGCTCCTCTCAGCCCTCCCTCCCCCACGCCCGCCCCAGCCTACCTGAAGCGCAGGTACGGCCTCATCAGCACCGGCTCAGACAGCGAGTCTCCAGCCACCCGATCCGAGTGCCCCAGCCCCTGCCTGCAGCCCCAGGACCTGAGCCTCCTGCAAATCAAGAAGCCCCGCGTGGTGCTGGCGCCCGAGGAGAAGGAGGCCCTGCGGAAGGCCTACCAGCTGGAGCCCTACCCCTCCCAGCAGACCATCGAGCTCCTCTCCTTCCAGCTCAACCTCAAGACCAACACCGTCATCAACTGGTTCCACAACTACAGGTAGGGCAGCTGGGGAGGGCCCACGGGGCGGGGAGGGCAGGCAGGGTCTTGGCCGGCTTCCTGAGCAGCAACTGTCTCTGGTGTCCATGTGGAGCCGGAGAGGAGAGTCCACCTGCATGTTCCAGGGGCGGAGAGGAGGTCTCTTGCTCCCCAAAGGAGGAAAGGAAGGAGGAGCCTGGTGGGGTGGAACACTTGAAATCTCTCTCCACAGCCCAGCATGGGCCTCACACAGACCTGAGTTCAAGTCCTGCCTCAGCTGTGTGTGCTCGGGCGAGTCGCTGTACCTCTCTGCGTCTCGCCCCCATGTTATAGACAAGGAACCTAACACCCGGCAGAGCGGGGTCAAGGACTCTGTGGAACACAGGAGGCATGAACACAATGTGAAGTACTGCTCGTTGTCTGGCTTAGGGCCAGAGCCCGCCAAACATCAGATAAAGCAGGCTCTTAAAGACTTACAGCCTCCGTCCCTCCCCGGGGTGCACAGGGACGTCTTCACCTGTTCTGTTCCCCACAGGCCTGAGCACTCCATTAGTACCCAGAACATTCGTTCAGCCAGAGGCTGGAGAAACGGGGGTTCAGAACCAACATCCCTGCCCTTAGGGAGCTCCAAACTGTGCCCCAGATAATTTTACTACAATCTAATAAATGCTGTAAACAGGAAGAAGTGGAGGTCGGGGGAAAGGGAATTCTGCATCCTGGTGAAGAGTTTACAGAAGAGGTCGCAGGGGAGCTGGGTTTGGAAGGGTGAAGGAGTTGGCCCCAAAGAGTGAAGAGAATTGCGCTCCCAAAGGAGACCCCTCTCAGAAAGTTTTCATGACGGAAGAGCACATTAGTTCATTTGGGAAAGGTTTACTGAGCACCTACTCTGTTCCCGGCACTGAAGAGAACAAGACAGAGTTCTCACCCTTGCATCTCTTACAGACCGTCAGGGAGGGTCCCTGTTGAACAGCCACTCCTGATAGTGTATCGTTACAAATGGCAGTGAACTCTGGGAAAAACAAACAACAGGATGTGTTGAGAAAAATTACCAGGGTGGCCCTGTCGTAGATTTGGGGGGCAGGAATTGCAAAGACTAATTTATACTATAGTATGAATGACTATTAGCTTCATATTTACTTTTAATCTATAGCTTGGAAATCCAAATCATGGAGCTGCAGGCATTGAGCCATATGAAACCTGCAGGGCTGCTCCTGGCCACAGCAGCTCTTCCTTTAGCAGGGACTGAGAGAGATGGCAGAGTCCCTGTAAGGTGGACAAGGCCACCTTTGTGGAGGGACTGGGGGCTGAAAGAGAGGGAAGTGAGCGAGACAATCCCTCCCAGTCCCTCTAAGCCCAGGATCCTGAGGCAGCAGGAGCCAGGGAGGCAGGAGAGTGTAGCTAGACTGCTAGGCTCAAAGCCAGACCGAGCTGCCCGCTGGCTCTGTGATGGGGGCTGTCCCTGTGTCTCTCTGAGGCTTGTCCTGTCTGCCGGTGGGAATGGTCATGGTAATGTCCCCTCCTAGGGCTATTATGAAAAACAAATGAGGTGACCTACACAAAGCACTTGGCCCAGTGCCTGGTACATATAAGCACCCATTGTTGTGATGTTTATAATCATTAGAACAGTTATTACTATATATCAATAACACATACTTTGTTATTCATATAAATGGGCAGAAGGCTACAGCCCTGGAGTAGCCAAGGGAGCCCTATTGCATGATGACCCTAGATGAGTCCTTTGGCCCCTCTGGACCTCATTTGCTAAATAGGAAAATAATGAATGGGCTTAGACCCACTCCTGGCCCTTCCTGCTCTGAAGCGTGGTGGGTGAGACTCGGTTTCCCTCCCACAGCAGGGAGACTGTGGAAGTGAAGAGAAAGCGGGTGCCAGACTAGAATTCGGGGCACCAGGACTCTGGTCCCAGCTCTGCCCCCTCGTGTGCTGTGGTCATCTGGACAAGTCACGCTCTGTGCCTCGGTTTCCCCTTCTGGGCCGATGTCTAAGGGTCCCTTCAGGAAAGGAGCAGGGACTTGTCGCCACAAACTAGACCTGCGTTTGACTTGGAGAACGCGCGGTCCGACAGAAATGCGGTGCGAGCCGCGTGAGTCACTCACAACTTTCCAGTGGCCACGTTCTCAAAAGTAAAGGAAACACAAAAGTTCATTATAGTAACATTTTATTTAGCCCAGTATATACAAATGTAACCATTTCAACATTTAGTCAATATAAAAACTTGATTAATGACAACTTTTACTCTTCTTTTCTTTTTGGGGGGGACGAAGCTTTGAAAATCTTACCTTTACGTCACATCTTAACTCGGACTAGCCGCATTTCAAATGCTCAAGAGCCGCTGTGGCCAGTGGCTACTGTACTGGACAGTGCAGGTTTAGATCATGGGCTTTGGATCCAACGGTCCTGAGTTCAAGTATTTGTTCTGCCATTTACTGGCTGTGTGACCTGGGGCAAGTCACTCAACCTCTCTGAGCCTCGTTTTCTCCCCTGCACCCACCTTGTGGTATTATGGAGGGGACTTCCTAAGATGCTGCATGTGGAGGAGCTTAGTGCCCAGCGAGCCCCCAGGGAAGTGGGTGGGTTCAAAATGCCCTTCTTGTCCAGTGAGTCCAGGGCTAGCTGGTTCCACCCCCCCCCCCCGACCCCCTCGCTCACCGCCATCTCTGCCCCAGGTCCCGGATGCGCCGGGAGATGTTGGTGGAGGGGACCCAAGATGAACCAGACCTCGACCCCAGTGGGGGTCCCGGCATCCTACCGCCGGGCCACCCCCACTCAGACCCCACCCCGCAGAGCCCCGACTCAGAGGCTGAGGACCAGAAGCCTCCCGTGAAGGACCTGGAGCTCCGGGGGGGTCCTGAGGAGAGCACCACACCCCTCCCCGCCCAGGCCCAGGCGCAGGTGAGGGTTAAGCAGGAGCAGCCCGAGGACAACGCTGAGGAAGAGGCGGGCCGCCAGCCCCAGGACTCAGGGGAGCTGGACAAAGGCCGCGGTTCTCCCGGAGAGATGCGCCCCGACCCCCCGGGCAACGACGGATGCCCAAGAGTGGCCCCTGGGCCCCTTCTTCCGAGCGGGACCGCCCCAGACTGCCCCTCACTACAACCCCCACAGGAGAGCAGGGGCGGAGAGCGGCTACACCCGGACCCTATGAGTTTTAAGTCGGCTTCAGAGTCCTCGCGCTGCAGCCTGGAGGTGTCCCTGAACTCACCCTCGGCTGCCTCCTCCCCAGGCCTCATGATGTCTGTGTCACCGGTGCCCTCCTCCTCGGCCCCCATCTCCCCATCCCCACCTGGCGCCCCCCCTGCCAAAGTGCCGAGTGCCAGCCCGACTGCCGACACGGCCGGGGCCTTGCACCCCAGCGCCAAGGTGAACCCCAACTTGCAGCGGCGGCACGAGAAGATGGCCAATCTGAACAGCATCATCTACCGGCTGGAGAGGGCCGCCAACCGGGAGGAGGCGCTGGAGTGGGAGTTCTGAGGGCAGGCAAGGGACTCGCCCAGCGGCCGCCCTGCCCCCAGACGGTGCGGGGGCCCAGGAGGGAGGAGCTCAGCCACCCAGGCGTGGACAGCGACGCTCTGCCGTTTACGTTTGTTGCCGTAACCCCAGTTCTGTCAAGTCGTGTGTGAGCAGGTGGGGCAGACGCCGCCGCCGCCTCCCTTCAGCACCGCCTGCCCCGGGGGCACCCGCCTCCCCACCCGGCCTCTCTGCACAAGGCAGAAGCCAGGAGGCGCCGCATCTTCTCCTGGAAACTCCAAACTCTTTTAGAAAAATAAATAAATATTTATAGACCTCTTTTAGATATTTTAATAAAGGATCCTTTGGAATTTATTCCCAGCTGATGCTGTTTTGATATCACAGAGAGTTATGAAATCAGGATGCCGTCACAACTGTTGCGAGTATACACTGAAGTTGTGTCGTTTTTGCCGCTAGATGAGATTAAAAGAAGACAATTGTTCAAAGCCATCACAAAACACTCTAAGACCGACCAAAACTTAGCTAACCTTTGACCCACGGTTTCTCCCCCACGTCTGTCTCTGAGACACAGCACGTTGCTGCTGCCCTCCCGGAAACCGTGCTGAGAAGAGAAAGTCCAAAAGACTCTAAATGGAAACCTCGATGCCCTTGGGGATGTGTTTCATTCTGGCGGTCTGTTTTGCAACCTCGGTAACACAGAACGCCCCGTGCTGTTGTGAATGCTGCAGAGACGTGGGCTGTGGCCCGCTGCCCCGCCTGAGACGTGTGTTTCGCGGCACAAAACGAAAGGCCCGCGCCCCCCCTGGTCAGGAACCCGTGGGCCACGGAGGTCGGACGTCCACCTCGTCCCTGCATGGACAAGATGTGTTTCCGGATCCTTTGGAAAGCCAGGCTTGGGGGCCGGTGATTGGAGGATGGCGCTTGAGCCAGAGTGACCCCGTTCCCCGCCCTGAGTCGCGGCCACGGTGCGGAAGTTTCCCTGCTGGTTTTCCAGAGCAAGAGTGTGGCCGCCGTCATCTCGATTTTGTGTTTTAAGAAAACAGCAGTGTCAGTCACCTCACAAGCGCCCGGCGCCAAAAAGTAGGTTCGTCGCACCCGAGAGCCCAGCTCCCCTTCTCACCACCTCTCTCGCGCGGGCCCGGAGCCGCTTCCGGGCCGTGCGCGCAGCGCCGCGAGCAGGCCAAGGTCGGCGCAGCCCGACCGCCACGGCCCCGCTCTCCCAGCCCGCCCTCCTGCCTTCCAACTCGTGACCTTTTGGGGAGCAAATACTCAACGTCCCCCCAACTCAGAGAAGCCTTTCCTCCAGCATCTCCATGGTTTCGAGGTGGAGAGTCCCCACTCTGGACGCAACAGCCCTCATACCGAGTGTCCTGTTTTTCTTTCCCATCCTTTCCCAGTCTCTGGGAAGGCTGCATGGGGTGCCTCCACGGCCGAGCCCACATGGCGACGAGAAGGTGGCTGTATGTAACTGGTGCCAGTCCTCTGCGGGGGGAGACGGCCGACTCGGGCTTCGGGGATGCCGCCAGCATCTTGCAGCCAGGCCAGGGAAACCCGGTGACCAGAAGGGGACAGCGGAGGGCCGTTCCAGAACACTCAACTCTCATGCACCCAGCCCCGGCCGCAGCCTCCACGCCCAGCAGTGAAGAACAGCGCACACCCTGCGGGAAATCTCCTTTTCCACACACCCAGGCTATGCATTGAAGAGTTTTCCACTGTATACATTTTTATCCAGATGAAGGTATTTTTATATTTTGACAATAGGAAACAGTGACCAATTTTCAGAGTCATCAGATCTGGAACAAACAAGACATCTCCTTTCAGTCACCACCGCCCTGTCGCAACTCAGACAACCGTGGGGGAACACACCACTTTTTACCGCGGAGACCCACGCACCACTGAAACCCAGGCCGACACGCAGGCTGCGATCCCCGGAGAGCCGAGGCCGGCTCCTGTGTGGCGGGGTCTGATGAAGCACTTAGCAGAGTCTCTTGAACGCGGAGGAGATCCCGTCGTCCTCGGAGCTGGCGGACCCTGGAGCAGCTCCGCCAGGGTCACGTCCCGTAGCGGTAAAAACACAGCAAAACCCACACAGCCGTTTCTGTCAGAGAGTGATGAACTTTGTTTAAAATTTAAAAAAAAGGAACACGTTCTGTAAATGCGTCGCTCAATACAGAATTGTATAATAATGTCTGGGTGTCCTGCTTGCTTTGTCCTGGAGCCGGGGTGCAAGTTGGGGGCCACAACTGGCCCTCAGGGGTGTTTTATAAAATGGTGTTTTTAAAAACTGGGCTTTTTTTTATTAATTTGCTACCATTAAAGTATGGGGGAAAATTGTATAAAAATTATAGTCACCGGCTTCCCTGGAATACCATTAAGATCTGGCCACAGCGGACCTCCCTTCCACCATGACGACAGCCGGCCAAGGAGTGGCTGCCACTGTTAGACAGGACGTGTGCCCGTGACTTGCCTCGGCGCCCACCTGTGCCGCCCGTCTGGGTGCTTGGACATCTTGGTGGGCGGCTGTGCTGGGGGCTCGAGCCAAGGAGGATGGAAGAATTGGAATCCATCTTCCACCGTGAGCAGGGTGGGGACAGGTTAGACCCTGGGGCCAAGTAGTCAAGACCGTGCCCTGTCCCCAGAGCAGTGGCCACAGGCGGTGCCCCCTCCGTGGGGTGTGAGTGGCAGGTGTCCCAGCCTCCTGAGCCCAACACCACATCACCTTTCTTGGCTGTGTATCTAGGGCCTCAGTTTCCCCATCTGTGAAATGGGGGTGTTGCGGCAGCCCGCTCAGAAAGTCAGTGTGAGGAAGGGTCACGCATGTGAGACACACAAAAGTGTGTGGCATCCCTGTTCTCGTGTGTGGGGGTGGGTCCATTCATCCCGTGAGGATGAGTCCTCTCTGTGCATCAGCCGCAGGAGGTCTGTTCCCTTAACCAGTCACGTCGGAGCGTCCCCGAAGTCCCCGCAGTGGCATCCAGCATTACTCACGATGAGCCAAGGCCACGTGGTACCCCGAGACAGACCTCTCCTCTGTGTCTGGAAACCTTCCGGTTGCCCAGTTTTTCCCCACACCCTCGCAGTGGGAGCTGAGTGATTAATTGCCTCCCCCTCGGTTAGGGTAACTAACTGCTCCAGGCCCGGCAGGACGGCCCCCCGGGATGCCTGAGCGCCCCCACCAAGCTGGGGGGGTAGCGGCGAACAGGGGCAAGGCCCCACTGGCCCGCAGGCCCCCAGCTGGCCCCCAAGAGTGGCGTTTCAGGCAGGCCCAGCCTGTAGAGCTGGCGGGGAGGATGGGGGCCGAGAGTGCAGGACGGCAGGCCGGACCACCTTCAACGCCAGCTCCCCTGTTGGGGCCATGTGACCCCGGGCCGATGTCCAAACTGCCCTGGGCCTCCGTGTTCCAAGCTGTCAAGTGGGGAATGAGAGTAACGGCGCCTTCCTTATAAGGTGGTTGTAACAACCTGAATGAAGTGAAGCCAGAGGCTGGCCCTTTGGACCCTCGGTTGACAGCCCTGGAGAAGGTCAGAAACCCCCAGGATGTGGCCCCGTGGTGTAGGTGGGGGCAGGAGTGGAGGGGGAACTGCCTCTGATGCACACCAGCCCCCTAAGAACCTGTGGAAGCAGGTGCCCCCGGCCTGAGAGCTAAAGCTCCATTCTGGCCATCATCAGCTTGTTGTTGACCTGGCGCCCGCAGCTGCTGGCCATCTGAGGCAGGAAATGCAGCAAAAACACAGCAACGTGGAGACCGGGGTCTGCGGGGGAGCAGGGGGTGGGGGGGCTGGAGGAGAATGGGAGCACGGGGCAGGCGTTGCAGGAGGCGGCAGGTTTATGTCAGGACAGGGGAGAGCAGAGAGCCGAGCTTGGGCAATTTGGCAGCTGTTCATCAGGTGCTTAGTACTTCAGGAGTACCTACTGTGTGCTCAGTGCTCCCCCTGGAAACACTGGGGGCCATGAGAGCGTGAGCCTGGAGTCCAGGGAGGCTTCTCGGAGGAGGGGACATCTCAGCTGACACCTGAAAGACAACAGGAGTTGGAGGAGAAGGGAAAAGAGGAGGGCGGAAGGAGTGGCAGGCAACACGTGGGACAGAGACAAGAACATGGGCGAACAAGTCCAAAGAAGGCCGGAATTCGAGGTGAGGGGAGAGGGAAGGAGAGGGACGAAGGCCAGCCCCCGAGGCCCCCGGGGCGTGGCGGGAAACACGTCTTTCCCGAGGGCACTGAGGAGGGCACTGAGGCAGGAAGCTGCTGTGGCCAGGCCTGTGATTTTAGGCAGGTTCGAAGGTTTCCTCTGCCTGGGGAGGCGGTGGCCTGGGGAGGGTGGCAGGGCCCGTCGTCACCTCAGCCCTGAACCTCAGGCCTCCGTGGTCCTCGCTTCCCATCTGTCAACAGAAGACATGGCCAAACCTGTAGAGGATGTTTTACGAGTCTGTGTCACATTGAGGACCCGGGCCAGGGAACAAGAACTCAAACGCTCCTGAGAAGAACAGTTTTGCAGCTTCTTCTATGCATTTGAAATTAAGGAGGGAATGTAAGGAAGATTCCACGGAGGTGGGGGAAAGCCAGGCAGGGACTGGGTCACAGGGTAGTTAAGATTAGGTGCTCTCTTGAGGGGTAACGTGTCTGGTATTTCAAAGGTGGATTCACCTCGATGCACAGGCAGGCTTGTTGGAAGCAAAGATAAACCCTCACCAAAGACATCAAAGGCCTGGGCGCGACCACCCCCCATGACCTTCCCAGGTGGGATTTCGATCAGATCACCCTTTGGGGTGACTTTCTGTAGAACCTGCCGCACGTCCCTGCCCTCGTTTCCCTCCTAGTGAAGCAACTAGAGTTGCGTCAGCAGCCCTGCCTCCTCCCACGTCCTTGTCTGTGGAAACTCGGACCTCAGTGGCTCATGACCGCTGGGGCGATTATCCAGGGATCGTTCCAAAGGCCGGGCTCTCCACCGCCAAGGAACAGGGTGCGCGTCGCTCCAGAAACCGGGCTGCCTCTGCAGGCTCCCGGGAGGCTGCAGCCGCCGCTGCCCCCCCGCCCCCCGCCCCCAGACCCAGGAGCAGTGGGCGCTGGGCAGGGAGCCGTCCTGAGGAGTCTTAGCCAAGGCGACTCCTCACTCTGGTGGGTTGCCCCGTCTGCGTGGGAGAAAACCATTGATCTCTTTAGTGGTCTGTGACCTTCTCCAGCCTCCAAGGGCCGTTGAAAGCACTGGCTTTGAACTCAGCCTGGCCTGCCAGGTTTGGTGGTCTCCACTGTCGGGAAATCTGGGGCCCTTCAGTGAGACTCAGTTTCCTTATCTGTAATGTGGGTATGACCGTACAAGTATGTACCTGTATTTGGTATCTATGGCTGCATAACAAAGAGTGCTAGAACTCAGTGGCTTAAAACAATAAACATCTCTCTGGGTCAGGAATTTGGGAGTGGCTTCACCGGACGTTGCGGGCTCCTGGGTCTCTCGTGTGGTTAAGCCATCATCAGCTGGGCCAGAGGCCAGTTCCAGGGCTGGAGGATCCGCCTCCAAGATGGCCCCCTGGCGCGGCTGGCAGGCGGGTGCGGGCTGCAGGCGGGGCCTCTCCAGGGGGCTGCTTGAGGGTCCTCACGAGGCGGCGGCTGAGAGTGAGCGGAGCGAGGCAGAGGCTGCGGTGTCTTCCGGGACCTAGTCACTCCACAGCGTCCGCCTGGCCACACAGTGTGGGAGGGGACTCCGCGGGCGCGGGGACGCCAGGAGCCGGTTACCACACTGCCTGATAAGTGTCTTTGAAGATTAAATGAGGTGTTTTTTTTTTCAAGATTGCATTTTTTTTAGAGAGGGGAAAGGGAGGGAGGAAGAGAGAGAAACATCGACTGGTTGCTTCTCGCACAACCCGGGCATGTGCCCTGACTGGGAATCAGCCCACGGAGCCACACCATCCAGGGCTAAATGAGCATTTCTCAGTCTGTGCTCCTAAAGCCCCTCGTTTCCTACTCAAAATGGAGCTTTCTGGGCCCTGCCCCAAAGTACTGACCCAGAATTCCTGGAGCCCGGGCCCAGGGATCTGCGTTTTTAAGAAGCATCTCCAGTGACGAGACCTCCTAGGCCTCAGTGAATGGGAGGCGGTTCTGGTTCATCTCCGCGTCTTTGGCCCCGCCGGGCGTGCGAGGCCCTGGGCTGGATGCTGGCGGAACGCGAGAATGGGAGAAGGAACGACACCCACTGGGTCTCCTGCATCATCGGGAACCGGTGGGTCGGAAGCGCTCGTGATCTCCTTAAAGACGAGCAAACAGTTTGTGGTGGGGGAGGGGCAGGCCCAGGGGCAGCCTGCAGAAATCCAAGGCGGGAAGTCAGCCGGGCTGCAGGACACCGCACCGTCTACCTTGACTCGTTCGTTCCCTCTCGGAGGCCACCTCAGACCTTAATCTGCTCCCCCCAGTTCCAGATGCCCAGGACCCTGACTGCCCAGCTCGTGTCTCGGGACCAACTCCTGCCCCCGAGGCTAGACAGGGAGAAAAGGATCACGGGGGCTGAGGGGCAGAGGACGCGGTGGTCGGCGGCTCGGTGCTGGGCGCCGCTGCGGGCCCTGGGAGGGCGGTGTGCGGGGAGCAGGCCTGGCCGGCTCTCTGGAGTGCCGCCCTGGGGCCTGGGCGCACTGCCCTGGGCTGTCTCGGCCCCCAGCTAGGGCAGCAGTGGCAACAGGGGCCCAGGACACTGAGGAGAGGGCAGTGGCCCCAGCACTCAAGGGCTTTCAGAGCTGCGCCTGGCCAGAGCAGCCACGGCCACGGCCCCGCGGACGGGCAGACGGAGCCAAGACTGCCCTGAACCCTCGGTCAGGGCCGTTCGACTGTGCTGGAACCCTGAGACAGACAGCTCACGCGCCGCCTCTTAGAAAGTCTTCATCAGAAAGTACAAAACCTGCAGCTGGGCTTGAGCAGCTCATCAAATCTTACCGCCCTGGAAGTTTCATTTCGGATGCGGCAATTTCAGAAACTGGGACAAACTGCAGGGCCTTTTGCATAACAAAGTCTGTATGAGGTGAAGTGAGGTGACCCGGGGAGGGGTTGGCGAGGGTGGACAGTCGGCCCCAGGTCTGGTGGGGGCGAAACAGCCCCATTTACGAGCAGACAAGGTGCAGGGCCGGGAGCAAGTCCAGGCGAGTGCTGCTCTTTCAGCGCTCGTTCCCTCTCCACGCAGGAGAGCCGGGAGGGTCCCAGGGGAAGGGTGAGACGCAGCGGCCCCCCGACTGCTCCAGGGGATCCCGCTGCAGCCCTAATCTTCACCCCACTGAGCCCACAACAGCCCTGGCATTGGTCGCCCGCAGCCACACTCCTTAAAGGGAAAAGCTGCCGTCACTCAAGCTTATCCATCAGGAAGTCCGTGGCTGCAAATAACAAAAAAAAAAAAAAGGCTCCCAGGAAGCTTTAAACAAGGCCATTTATTCCTGCAAATAACAAGCCGTCCAGAGGTGGGGTTGATTCAGAAGTTCAAGGATGTTTCCAGGTGTGTGCTAAACTCGGAGGAGGACGCTTTTCTCCGAGTGTCCTATTTCATGATCACAAGATAGCTGCCATAGCTCCAGGCCTCAGGCATAACTTTACCTTTTTAAAACAATGAAGAGCTCTTCTTCTTGTCTCCTTTAGAAAGCAAGAAGTTGCTTCCACTCACATGGCATTGGCCAAAATTGGGTCACAGAATTCATTCTTTAGCAGCTCAAGTTTAGCTAATTGCTTCAAGTCAAATGGGAGAGGCACAACTGATTGAGGGGATTTTTGTTTGCTTTGTTTTGTTTTAGTCCTCCTCCTCCAAAGATATGTTTTTTATTGATTTCAGAGAGAGAGGAAGGGGGAGAGAGAAAGAGAAACATCAGTCGGTTGCCTCCTGTACATGCCCTGACCAGGGATTAAACCTGAAACCTAGGTAGGTGCCCTGACTGGGAATCGAACTCTGAACCTTGCGGTGTACAGAACAATGCTCCAACCGAGCCCCTGGGCCAGGGCTGAATCTGACCAGCCGTTTCGGGTGCAAGGGTGTTGGGCAGCCAGCACATAACCTCTGGCCTGACAGCCCCTCTTCAGGCTCTCACCCCCTGCCCCGCCTGGCTTCTCAGAACGTTCCTTCTGAACCCAAAGACCCCCTGTCCCCCCTGTTGGGGGGACGACAATGTTCCCTACTTTGTCATGCTCCTGGGATGTGTGAGTCCTTAGACACGCGCCCTGAACACGTCCCCTGGGTCAGGAGGAGACGCTCAGCTCGCTAGCTGGTGGGCACACAGCACTCAGGGCTCGGCTGGCTCGTCTTCCTCTCCCGGCTTCAGCCGGGGCCAGGGAAACATTCCAGCCCTCCGAAGGCCAGCAGGTGACCCCCCTCCCTCTTGGAGCTGGCCGTCTCTCGCCTGCCACTTCCCCATTCCGCGCGCCCTGTGGCGGCTGTGGTCACAAGTGCCACAGGGAGTGCTCTGACTCAGCCTGCGCAGGGAGCCACTTCCCCAGCCCCCGCCTGTCAGCTGTGGCCCCAGGAGAGGTGGAAGGAATTACTCAGCGCGTCCTGGACGTGCACGAGTGGCATGATTCCCGGACCCTGCTATCTTTCGTTTCTTGTTCTTGAACGTGCTCCTCGGGCCGAGGCCTGTGGGTTGCTCATCCTGAGCCATCCTCTTCAATGTGCATGATTTCCCCAGCGTGACAAGGAAGACGTGTGACCCAAGCTCTGCTAGTCCATCGTGATGGCTGGCCTCGGGCCAGCCCCTCCCGTCTGTGGTCTCCCGTTAGCCCAGGGAGTCTGAGACAGCGACAGCACGAGAGCCCCTCATCCGCCCGGCTCATGGCAGACACCACAGTAATCGCAGGACCGTTCCCTCTGAACTAGCGTCGGTGCCCGAACCCTAACTGCAGGCCCCCCCGGGCAGCCCCATGAACTGACCAGGAAGAGCCAGCTTTTGACTCTTCCATCTGCCGTCCTGGACAGTCCTCCCAATGGTCAGGCCTTCGGCCCAGCTGACTTTCTAACCCTCGCCCTCCCCTCTGCCTTCCCTCCCCTCTGGGAAGGGGCCATGTGACCCCATCTCCACTTCCCGTATTGCTCTGGGAGGGTCTACCCCTCCTGCCCAGGGTCCCAGGGGTCCCGCTCCTGCTCTGACACTTTCTGGCTGTGTGAACCTCTGTGAGCCTCCGTGTCCCCATCTGTAAAGTGGGGCCAGCGCCCTCCAGAAGAGGTGGCGAGAAGTGCCTGGCAGAGCGCCGGCCGTGGAGGGCACGCGCACCCACTGGCCACTGGTCCTGCGGGGCCTGTCCCTGTCCTTGGCTCCGTCCCTGGCTCTGCCGGGCACGCCAGTCCAGGATTCTGATGGGAAAAATCACATGGCCAGCCATTACTTGACAGACTTTTGATTGTTTTATTTTAGCTTTTACAATCCCCCGTCCCAGGCTGCCTGACATGTCTCCCCTCACCCAGCTCTGAAGGCAGCCTGACCCCACCTTGTGCTTTGGGGATGGGGGCAGGAATGGGGGTAATTCCCACCAGCCCCCCCCCCGCCCCCATGGAGACCAGGGCACAGTACCCTTAGAGCTTGTAAACCTGCACCAGGACTGGGGCCACCACCTCGCCCACCAGCCAGGTCTGGGCGGCTCCTGACACCCTGCCGACCCAGGGCCTGTGGACAAGAGCCACAGCCCCCCCCGCCACCACCACCACTCAGGACTCGGGAACCAGGGACGGGGCCACACCGAAGCCCCACAGGCACCTGCCCCGAGCAGGACTGGCCTGGAGAAGGCAAAGCACCCGGTGAGATTCTTGGGATGCCCTGGTTTCCAGCCAAGATTCCGGGCCCTGTCCCGGGGACGTCCAAACTGTCCTCTCTCGCCACCACCCCAGCCAGGCCGAAAGCCTGGCACCCTGACCTTTCTCAGCAGCCAACAAGAAACAGAAGTCATGAAAATGCCAAGCTTTGTAGCTTAAAAACACCTCAGTATCAAAAATTAAATTAAAACAGGAGCCCGTCACCCGAGCCAGCAGCAAGCCCGAGACTGCAGGCAGCCAGCGCCCCCCGCTCGTCCCGAGCCCCAGGGTCTCTCAGAGACAGCAGGAAGGGGTCTCGGGCCACGTTTGTCACCAAGCGGGGTCATCTTCTGGAGAACAGAGGTCGAGGGGAGGTGTCCTCGGGGAGCCCCCAGCACGGGGCACGGAGGACTGTAAACATGACTCAGCCCCCAGAGTCTCCCTGGACGAGGAGCAGCCACCGTGGAGGTGAGAACGATGGCCTCACCATCCATCGGGAAACCAGGGGTGGAGGCGGTCCCAGCAGCCACGCACAGCCTCACGCCTGCTGCTTAGCCCCATGGGATCAGCACCTGGCCCGTCCTGGGCGGGGAGTCAGCCGGTGGCCGCCCCTCCCCAGTGAAACCTGCTGGAAAGGCAGCTCAGGCCACAGCCGCCTGGCCAGGCTGAACCGGGTCAGAAGCGCTCCCGCGAGGTCTCGTCCCAGGGAGCGGGGGAGACTGAGGGTGTAGTTGAGGACTGTCAGGAGCACACGTGACGGCCACCACAGGAACGCAGACAGGCTGGAGGCTGCAGGGTCACTGCCGCACCAGGAGTGCCACCTCAAGGCCTGGCCGAGGCCCAGGGCAAAGTCCTGCCTGGGCCCCACGCCAGCCAGTAGCCCTGGGGACCAGGCGACCTCACCATACCGGTTCGGCATTAAAACCTGCCGTCGCCTCCTCGCCTGCTGCTGAGGGAGCAAAAGCAGGTCCCGCCCAGGAGTGTGGCGCGCCCGAGCCTTCCCTCTGTCTGTGTGGAGGCCCCGTCAGGGACCAGGCTGACAGGGCACTTGCCTTCGGGCCACAGATCCTCGTCAGGCCCAGTGGCTGCAGCCAGGACCTGATGCCAGCAACAGGCCTTTGCTGGGTGATCGGGCTGGGGCTGGGGCTGGGGTTCCAGCCCTCAAGCTTCTGGAGGCTCAGCCAGGCCCCTGATTCTTCCTAGGAGGTACTATGGCCTCCTCCGAGTCCTAGAGCACCCCTCTGAGTCCAGCATCTTCTCAGAGCTTAAGTCCCCTGAAAACAGGCCACACGGGGGCCCCGGTTTTCCTTAGGGCTTGGCCGTGGCTTCCCTGGGGCCCAGGCCCCCAGTCTCTCAGGGCAGGCCCGTCAGGGCAGGGCCTAGGGGCAGAGGCCCTCCAGAACCGGACCACTGGCTGGCGGCCTCGCGGCTGGCTTTGACCCCTGCCCCTCAGCACAGGCCCTCCCCCCACCGCTTCAGGGCTGAGCCCGGCTTCTGAGCCACTGGCTCCTCAGGGCCCGGACCTCCTGCCCGTACCGCTCGTGCAGCTGAGCGAAGGAGGCCGAGTCCAGAGGCCCGTTGGGCGCCGAGGCCCGCCGGCGGGGTGGCAGTGGCGGGGGCTCGGCGCCAGGCCGGGCCCGGGTGGAGGCGCCTGTGGAGGCGGCGGGCGTCTCGGCGGCGCTCCAGACCGCACAGCCGTTCTCCTTGGGCAGGAGGGCGCGGGGCCGGCGCGGTGGGGGCGGGCAGCCCCCAGCCCGCATGGCGGCCAGCTGCCGCTCCAGCTCGCGCACCACCAGCCGCAGGTAGTCGAAGCTGGCCCGGGACAGCGCCTTCACCCAGCCCTCCATGGCGGCCTGGCTCTCGGCGGCCAGAACGTAGGTGCGGACCCGGTCCCCCGCGAAGCGCACGGCGAAGGCGAACTCCTCCGCGGCCTCCACGAGCTCCACGGTGCAGCCCTCCAGGATGATGACGCCCACGGGCTCGCGGCTGCCCGGGTCCTCGAAGTAGAAGAGCATGTTGCCCCGCAGCACGAACCAGCGCCGGTGGTAGGCCGCATGCCGGCCGCCCTTCTTGTGCAGGAAGCCCGCGTTGTCCACCGGGGCGTCGCAGGTGGCGTAGGCGGCCAGGCTGCGCTCGTTCAGCTTCATGGCGGCCGGGACGGGCCTGCAGGGGGCTCAGGGCCTGTCCCGCCCCAGCCCAGCTGTCACTCAGGTGGTCGCCACCACCACCAGGTCACCCAGCGCCTCCCCCGACCTCCCAGCCACCCTTGGGCATCACAGAACTCAACACCCCTCCTTCACAAATGAGGAAACTGAGGCTCAAAGAGCAGAAGCAACCTGCCCAGGCTCACACAGCTCTTCAGGAGCAGAGCCGGGACTCGGGACCCTCCTGCATCCTTCTCCCCAAAACAACGTCGGGGATTCCTGCATGCCAAGCATTTTATGTATCTTAACTCATCCTGCAGCGAACCTCAGTTGGCAGGAGGTAGCCTGACCCCCATTTGGCAGATGAGGAAACAAAGCAGAGGCTAGTCATGCGCCCAAGGCCACAAAGCAAGTTGGGTGGAGCTGAAAGTCACACCCAGGCCTCACTTCAGGCTCTGCTGGGTCCCTCATCCCTGGGGACCAGGTGGGCCGACCTTGTGTCGTCCCCTTCAGGTCCCGGCTCTAGTTTCATAACTCAGCGTGGATCTGCCTGCCCGTGAAATGACAACAGGAACAGAACCTGTTTCAAAGGGTTATAGGGACTTCATTCATCCAACAACGAGGCACCCACTGCGTGCCCGGCACTGTCCCGGCCACTAGACAAGACGGAGAGGGTCGCCGCTGCCAGTGAGGCTGACGCTGATGCCAGTGGCCAGTGAAGGGGGCAGACAAGTGACGGAGGGACAAAATGCGTCTGCCCGGAGGTCCGGGCTTCACTGCTGGAAGAAAGCTGATACGGAGAAGGGGTCAGGAGTGTTGGACTGTAACGGGGTGAGGGGGGTCAGGAACGGGTGCACTGAGAAGGTGACATTTGCGCAGAGCCCTGAAGGGGGCGAGGGAGGGAGCCCCTGGGACATGCCCGGCAGAGGGAACAGCAAGCGCAGAGGCCCTGCCGTGGGAAGCTGCTGCTGCTGCGCTGGGCGACCAGCCAGAGGGCCAGCGAGGCTGGAGCAGGAGGGGGAAGGGGTGAAGTGGCAGGTCCAGACAGACAGACAGACAGACAGAAAAGCCTGTGGTGAAATAATCCAGAAAAGGGGCCCAGAGCTCAGCCCGCAGTTACAGGCAGGGGGTGGGCAGACAGCATCGGGTACTCAAAGTCGAAGAGTCTCGCTATGCACCTGGCTCAGTGACTTTTCCCACTTTCCCCAAGGAGCACATGGCGGGGCAACAGAGGCCAGGCAGGGCTCACTGGGAGGTGGTACGTGGGCCCCTGACGCGACCACACCTTCCCCTGGGATTCTCCACGGCCACTGTGAGGGCCCGCCTTGTGCTCCTGCTTCACGGCCTCGCTCTATACAGGACAGTCGGCACATTTTTCAGAAGACAAAATAATGTGAAGTCCCTGGAATGCAGTAGGTGCTCAGCCAACGTTCATTCCCCAGCCTGCGTGGCGCCTTGCTCAGGGCCTGTAGGAATGTGGTATATGCGAGGTAGCTCAACCGGACCCAGGGTGGACAGGGTGGTTGCTCCCAGCTGAATTCACCTCATCTCACCTGCCTAGGCCATCAAGGATGGCTTCTTGGAAGAGGCACCACACACTGTGATTTCATAGCTGAGGCCAGCCTCTCTTGACCTAGGAGCAGATCAAGGCCAAAGACCCTGAAGGCTCAGGGTACTTAATCCCTGCTCTGCCTCTCTGACCTGTGACCTCACACAGGCTACCCTCCTCTGAGCCTCAGTTTCCTCCTCTGCAAAAGGAGACTCGTGCCTCTCCCCCCCCCCACCGCCCCCAAGCCCGACAGCTGCATGCAGACCCCAGCCCCACTCGGCACAGGAAGCGCCCACGCTGCCTGCCCCGTTTCCCTCCTACCTCTCAGGCCACCGCTCGCCTGCCCGCCCTCTGCCCGGCCTGCTCTTGGCTTGCTCTTCTCTGGGTTCAAATGTCAGCTCTGTCGTGTCCAGGCTGTGTGACCTCAGGCAAGCTTTAAGCCTCTCCGGGGCTCTGTTTCAACATCTGTAAAGTGGGATCATAAAAGCACCGAAGTCAGTGTTGCTGCGACAATGACACAGTGAATTAATTACACAGAAGGCGCTGGGCATGGTGCCAGGCACGCAGTACCTGCTCAGCAGTGACAGCTGTTGCCACTCGGCCTCCCCAGGCGTCCGGCTCAGCGCCCTGTCTCAGCAAACAGCCCTTGGCCTGTCTCCTCACCCCACTCCGACCACTGATACAGTCCAACTGATCTCCTTCCGACCTCCTCCCAATCAGTGGCCTAATCTCTACCCACTGCCACCTCCCCATTCTAGGTCCCCATCATCGCTGGACTAGATGGCTCCAGGGGCCTCCACCCCCCCTCTCCTTGTCCACGTTCTTCAGGTAAGAGCCAAGCCCCTTCCAAGGCCCCTCCCTGGGCCCCACTGAAACCCATCCCCCACAGAAAGATCCTGTTTAAAACCAAACGCAGCCACAGCCCTCCACTGTGCCTCCTTCTCCCATTACAAAATTCAGTCCACCCCCGGGGGCCTCCAAGTCCCCTCCCCCTCGCTCACCCAGCGTCAGCCAGCCCGCCCGCCCACACTCCCTGCTGCTCCTCAAACCCAGCAGGCCCATCCTGCCTGGGGGCCTGTGCCCTGGCTGCTCCTCTCAGGGGAGCATCCCCAGCCACCCCGGACACGAGACTCCCCCGGCCCCTCTTGGGCACCCCAGCCTGAAATTACCTGGGTCGCGTTCGCCTGTTCTAGGAGGGCAGAGTTGTTGTTTTTTGCCTGAACTCCATCCCGGTGTCCGCTCAGATACCTGTAGAATGAGTCAAACAGTCGTCTCAGACCTCTCAACAGCTCCCCCAGAAGGAGAGTCCCTGTCCCGTGTTAGTAGATGTGGAAACCGAGACACAGAGAGGGTAGGTGACCTGCCCAAAGGTCCAGTGCTGTGCCCAGAATTGCACGCTCCAGACGAGTGGCCCAAAGGGGCTCATCCTGGGGTGGCCCCACCCCATTAAGGCCAAAGAAAGAGCCATTTCCCTCACGCTCAGCAGCCCTCCTCCCCTCACCGCCCAAACTGGGGCTGGCCGGGTACTAGGTCACCAGTGACACAGGAACCTGCTCTGTCCATGGGCCCTGCTTCTTCCATCCTCAGCAAGGAGGAGCAGGGCAGGGCAGGGCAGAAGGGGGAGGAGCAGGGGCTCCAGCTTCTGGGAGGGCCTGCTTCCTGCCTTATCTCTCCCACTCAAGTTGCTTAGTAAGTCCAGAGTCCACTGTGACTGCGGGCGCCGCTACTGACTCACAGCCCGAGGCCAGGCAGGAGGCTGTAGGGCCCCCCCGACCTGTCCCCCCGAAGCCCCCTGGTCCCAAGGTCACGCTCTCCACCAGTCCAGGCTGGAGGGCCCTGAGAAGGTCACTTCCCTTCTCCAAGCCTCAGTTTCCTCATCTGTCAAATGAGCTGTGGAGAGGATTCAATGAGCCAAAACGAGGAAAGCCCCACAGCCAACTACGGGTAAAGCACCAAAAATACCGCCTCTGTGCGTCGGAGTTTTCACCACCTCACCTCTAAAGTGAAAACATGAGCATGCACCCCCTCTGGGAAAGGTTGAATAAGTTAGTCCTAAAGAGGCAAATAATTAGCTCCAGGCCTCCAGGGACAGAGCTGGCCCAGAATGGAGCACTCGGGAGAAACTGACATGGCATTCTGGCACTCAGTTCCAGGAAAGAAACCACCGCACAGGTCCTAGGGCTGAGTCCAGCGGCCACAAATGTCCCTGAACGGCGGGGACGGGGGAGAGGGTGTGGCGGGCACGGGGATGAAAAGCAGGGGCCCCAGGGGCGCTCCCCCACACCTCTGGGGTGGAGGCAGCCCCACGCCCCTTGTAAAGTCTGGATCTCCAGGGGGGGCCCCCCCGCTCCTAGCAGCCCTCTGTCCCTTTGTGTGTCGTGTGGGGAGCTCTTGAGTTTCCTGGGGGACGGTTAAAGCCCCAAACAAAGCGTGGATGCCAAGTGGAGGGCTCGTCTCCAGAGTTCCCAGCAGCAGAGGTCCCTTATGGGGCGGGGAAGGGGCAGTTCATCGGCCAAGTTCGCCCCGGACCGCCGGGAAAATCACTGCTGACTGGCAGTCGCAAACAGGTTTCTGCCGCCGCCCGCGAGACCCGAGGCCCAGGGCGGCCCGAACCGGGGTCCGGGTCCCCACGCAACGCCGCCGCTGGGCGGGCCTTACCTGGAGGCGCGGCCTAGGGCAGAGGCGGCTGGACGGAAGGCCCTGGGCCGGGGGCAGCCCGGCCATGGCCCGGGACCCGCACTAACAGTGGCGGCGGCGGCGGCGCTTTGTCTCCCCGGCGGCCCGGCGGGCGCAGCCGCGGGAGGCCGCAGCTCGGCTGGAGGGAGGCGGGGCAGCCGGACAGCCGGGGACCCGCGGGCGCGCCTCTTTAGCCCCCAAGCTCATCCCACCCCCGGATTGGCCGCCCGGCCCGGCCCGCCCGCAGATTCGCCCCGCCCCTTGGGCCCCGCCCCGAAACCACTCTTAAGGGGACCGCGACCCGTTCGCAATCTTGAGTGACGAATCTCAGGAAAGAGGACGGAGTCCCGGAGAGTCAGCCGGTTTCCAGGGCTAAGGACAGCGGGGAGATTCGCCCGGAGACAGCAGCGGGGTCCTGAAGTCCTGAAAGGACTGGCGTCCCAGCCCTTCCCCGGCTAGGGTTGCCAGATTTAGGAAATTTAACGCCCAACTCAATTGAAAAATAACTCTACATGCTGAAAATTTGTGATTTATTGGAAAAAAGAAAAACTGAATACAGGACATTTCGGGCGATCTGACAAAGTCAGTAGAGGACTGCAACCCTGGCTCTCGCCCCAGGGGAAGAGGGAAAATTCTGGAGGGCCTTGGAGCAACACTCACCTCTCTAGGCCTCAGTTTCCTTATGTGCAAAATACAGGCAGTCAAGGTACACAAAGGCCATGGCACACAGTAAGGTGATCTCAGCAAACCAATCGCCGTTCTTTTTGTTCTGCACAAAGTAACACAGGCCACCTCCTTGCTGCTTCCTCCTGGCCACCTCCAGGACTCAATCAGTGCCCAGTCCTGGCCCGAGGGCAGGAGACCAGTCAGACTGGTCAGCACCATGTATTCCATTGTGCAGCTTCTCACTAAGTGCCTACTGTGTGCCAGGCACTGTGGCTGAATCAATCAACAAACCGCGCAAATAAGATGAGCTCTATAAGCCGTGAGTGCCAGGAAGACGATGTGCCGTCCATGGGGTGGAAGGGCTGTCAATGCCATTTCGGACCAGGCGGCTGGTCAGAGGAAGCTTCTCCGAGGAGCAGGGACCTGAAGGAACTGGAGGGGGGAGCCGTGGAGATATCTGGGGGTCTCCCAGGCAGAGGGAACAGCAAGCGCCGAGGTCCTGAGATGGGCCGTCCCAGGCCTGTCCGAATGAAGACGAGCCCTGCTGGCGGGGCCGGAGCCGGATGAGCAAGCGCAGGCATAGCAGGCGGAGTAATGTTCCGTTGCGCAGACGGGCCACGTTTTTGTGTATCTTAGCACCCGTCCATGAGCATTAGCTTGGTTTCACCTTTTGGCTGCTATGAGTAGCCAGGCATCCCTGTGGCCGGAACTGTAGAAAAGAGACAGTGATTCACAGGGCCTGGAGAGAGGAATTTGAGAACCAGAACTGGGTCGTGGCTACGTTACCTAGTCCTGGTGATGTTACCTCAAAATCGTGTCTCGAGTCCGTCACTTCTGCATTTCCACCGCCGCTTCCCCATCCCAGGCCACTGGCCGTATCTCACCAGGTGAGCTGCCCCAACCTTCTCTCCGGTCTCCCTTCTGCCGCTCCAACTCCCAAACCCCCGAACCCAATCTCCGTGGAGGGATCCCAGTAAAACTGAAATCAAGCTCCGGCACTGTCTTGCTCAAAGGCTTTTCCAGATACACAACTGTGCCCTATCGGGCTGGTGCTCTAACCAAGTGAGCTACCCAGCCAGGGCCAGAATACAAGTTAACAAGACAGGCAAGCACATACATTTATTTGCACAGCAGCACTACTTACAATACCCAAAAGGTGAAAGCAACACAGATCTCTGTCCATGGACAAGTGGATAAATGAAACATGGTACGTCCATGCAATGGGATATGTCTCAGTCATAAACGGGAATGAAGCCCTGACACCTGCTACAGTGCGGACGAATCTCAAAAACGTGATGCTGAGTGTGAGGGAAGCCAGACACACAGACTGCATATCGTATGATCCCATTTGTAGGAAATGTCCAGAACAGGTAAATCCTTAGATTCAGACAGCTGACTGGCAGTTGCCAGGCACTAGAGGGAGGGGGAAATGGGAAGTGAGTGCTTAATGGGTAGGGGGTTTTACTTCCGGGTGACGAAAACGTTTTGGAACAAGATAGAGGTGGAGGTTGCATAGAGCATTGTGAATTCATTTCAAAATGGTCAATTTTTAAAAAAGATTTTGTTCATTCATTTTTAGATTTTGTTTATTCGTTTTTAGAAAGAGGGGAAAGGAGGAAGAAAGAGAGGGAGAGAAACATCCATGTGTGGTTGCCTCCTGCAGGCCCCCCACTGGGGACCTGGCCCACCACCCAGGCACGTGCGCCAACTGGGAATTGAACCTGTGACACCTTGGTTTGCAGACCACCACTCACCCCACTGAGCCACATCATCCAGGGCAAAATGGTCAATTTTATGTCATGTGAATTTCACCTCCATAAATTAGTTTTTAAGTGGCAGCCAAGCGTTCCTGCCCTCCCTCACCAGAGGGGAAAAATAAGGAAGCAACACTCACGCGGTACATTAGACGAATGATGGATTAGCCATTTTCACTACGAGGGCCACAGAGAAGGAAGGCAGCTTTTGAGTAAAGACCCGAGGAAATGAGGGCAAAAACCATGCAGATATCCAGAGGGACGCGTTCCCAGCACAGGGACTAGCAAGGGCAAAGGCTCAGAGGCAGGAAGCATGTCCAGGAAGTTTGTGTGGCTGGAGCAGAAAGAGCAAACGGAGAAAAGAGGTGGGAGCAGGGGGGCCCGTGGGCTTTTCTCCAAAGGCTCCGGGGAGGAGCGGGCCCCACGAAGGCGATGAGAAGACGCAGATGGTGAAATAGGTCAAAAACCAGGACCAGCCAACTGTAGGCAGTGTCACTGGGTTTGAAGACCCCGTGCCTAACCTGTGAGGCCCCCCAACCACCAGTGAGAAGGTAGGTCTGGGAGTGCAGGGAGTTCCGTCTGCTTTGCTCTGTGTGGCACCTCCAGTGCCTGGCACGGCGCCTGGCAGACAGCAGGTACTGGATGACCGGGACATGCGCGACTCAGGGCCTGAGCCAGTTCCTCCCGGGCAGGTGCCCACAGGACCTGTCCTCTTGCATCCGGACCTCGGCCTCCCCACCCTTTCTAACGATCCCCCACTTCGTTCAGCCACCAGCAGGGGAAGGCAGTGCTCCAAGCTGGGGTCTGGGGCAGCATTTCATCCCACAGTGGCTGTCCCACCCCCAAAGTGGCTAGGACCAGCCAGCCCCAAGGAGGAACTGAAATCACCCTCCGCCACCAACACCCAGCCCAGGCCACACAGGCTGGGAGGGACAGGGGGAGGTGAACTGTGGGAAGGGCCAGATCCCTTCATGGGCCTTCCTCCCTTGGCACATGTGGAGGAGAAACGGGCCTGAGTGCACCAGCCTGAGGCCCAGGTCCTGTGCGTGAGCGAATTTTGCTGAGGGCTTGGGGACTGGGAAGTTCTTGCCAGCTCCCTGCCTGGTGTCAAGTGGAGGATTTGGGAGCCCTGCCTTAAAAGGTGGCCTTGCCAACTCCTCTCCTCATCCCCTCCATGGTTTATGGGGCCTCTCACCCACCCCTCCCTCAACCCTTTCTTCTGTCTTCTTCCGCAGACCCCCATATTCCTAAATACTTCCTCCCGAGAAGCCATTTAAATTTCCTCTGAGTTTCACCTGCTCCTTAATAGTAATCGAGATGTGCTGCATATGAGCCCATGGCCAAGTTCTTTTCACAGACCCTTATATTGACCCTGAAGCCAAGGCTCAGAGAAGGTGAGAAACATGCCCATAGTCACACAGGAAGGGGCAGTCTCTCTAGCCTATAGAGATGAGGCTACAACCCAGGTCTATTGGCTACCAAAGCCTGTATTCCTAAGCACCTAGCTGCCTTCTCTTCCAGGTACTCACTGCCCTAGCAGAACCCCAAAACCAATAGCCCCCTCGGTTTTTGAGATAAACCATGCCCCTCGCCCCGAACACCAGAATGGCTGCCTCTGGTGAGATATTAAGTGGGGTATGTTTTTTCTTCCTGCTACATCAGGTCAGGACTCGAAGGGAGGTAGGTAGGGTTGGAGTCTTGGTCCCAGAGCCACACCAGGACTGCAGAGGTCCAGGGAGAGAGAGGTCTTTCATTTGCCTATCAAGCTCTGACTCATAACACAACTTGTAATCTTGCTTGGAGCTGGAAGTTAATGGATTTAATGTACATACCTGGGTTCCAATCCCCACTCTGCCGTTTTCAAGCTTGGTGACCGCCCGCAAGTCACTTCACCTCTCTGTGCCTTGGTTTCCTCATCTGTACGACGGAAGAAATGCCAGTCCCCATCTCAAAATGTGTGACGAAGGATTTCAAGAATAACGGGTAAAAAAAAAAAAAAAAAGAGTAACAGGTAACGTTTACTGAATGCTTCTTATGTGTTTTGCTTCTCGTGACGACTCTGAGAAGCAGGGCCGATTTTACCACCCCTGTCTTACAGGTACAGAAACCAGGACGGAGTGGTTTCTGTGAGCTCGCGCGGCGAGCAAGTGGACTCGAATCCAAGGGCTCTGGCGCGTGAGCCTACGCCTTGCTGCCCCTCCACGTGATGATGCAAAGCCCCCTGAACAGCACTGGCACATGGTAAGGGCTCAATAACTGTTAGGTGTTATTACCTTGTCCTGCTTACAAGTTTTAGGTGCAAGTTCAAACATCTTTGAGTAATGGAAAATTGAAAGACAACTAAGTCAGTCGCTGGGAAAACATAGTGCTTGGAGATTAAGAAAATCAAAATAAGCCCTGGCTGGTGTGGCTAAGTAAATTGAGCGCTGGCCTGAGAACCAAAGGGTTGCAGGTTCGATTCCCAGCTGGAGCACATGCCTGGGTTGCAGGCCAGGTCCCCAGTAGGGGGTGGTGAGAGGCAACAGCACATTGATGTTTCTCTCCCTCTTTCTCCACCCCTTCTCCTCTGTCTAAAAAATAAAAATAAATAAAATCTTAAAAAAAAAGAAAATAAAAATATAGAGCCCTTAGGGAAAATCCATAATTTAAATTTTTTTAAATTAAAAATATATGCCCTGGCTGGTGTGGCTCAGTGGATTGAGCACCGGCTTGCAAACCAAAGGGTCCCTGGTTGGATTTCCAGTCAGGGCACATGCCTGGGTTGCGGGCCGGGTCCCCAGTAGGGGG